ATATGACTGTTCTTACAGAATTTGGTGAGACGGAAGTATCTCTACTGATTCAGCATTATGAGCCCATCCTAGAATGGGCCAAAGTGAAAGTGGATGAAATTGAAACAGAATGGAATATGCTAAAAGCAGAGCTATATAATAGGTAATAGGCATGCTGCCTTAAATCCAAGTTTGTTTTACTGCTACATTAGCAAAAGGAACATGTTTAGTAATAAACATTATCTTTTCTAGATACGAAAACATCCAGGGCTTAACGTGGGATTTGGTAAACAGAGATTTTTTTCATAAATATCCTAACGTCTTGGCCCTTATCGATCTTCTCTTGACACTGCCAGCAAGTTCCAGCGAAGCAGCACGAGGCTTTGGTCAAATGAAGCTGACAATGATGAGACTGCGTTCAAAACTCATGTTTGAAAGCATGACGGATCTCATGGTCATTCAACTGAATTCTCCCGAGATCAACAAATTTAATCCCCAGAAAGCTGTTCAGTTGTGGAACGTTTCTTGGCAAAGGAACAGAAAGCTACAAGCTAATCAGGGGGATCCCAGTGGGATCCCAATTGGATTATCTCCTCGTGAGAATTTTGATACTTCATCTGATTCCGAATGGGAAAGAGAAAGTTCGTTTGGAAGCGACTAGATGTGCAACATTATTTCTGTCTCAATTTCATGCAAAGGCATTGTTTCAACAAATAACGGTTTAGGAATCATTATCTCCTTCCCCCTCCAAAAAACCCCATACTCCAATTAAAAATAAAGTGTGCAGTTGTGTAAGTACAGGAGCTGCAATGGCCATTGGGTAGAGTTTAATGTATTTTGTAACTTTTGCATTTCAGACACAAAACATGTTTGTTGAATGCTTTAGTAGCAGCTTTGACTTTTCCACCTCATGAGACATGCCACTTTCTAAAGTTGCTAATAGAACTACAAAGATATGTGAGAATGATGTTGAAAAGGGAGGGGAAGAGATACCGAGGAAATGATCAAAGAAAGTGAGGGACAGTCCAGAGGAAGAAACTTAGAAGGGATCTGCCCTGATTGATCAAGTGGTTAAAAATGGCAGCAGGACCTTATATCTTCAGACTTGCAAGATTCTGTTAATGTAGCCTTACAATAAAGTAGAATTAACTCAACTCGTTGTATTTCTTTGTCTGGTTTATCTGGGAAGGCTGGCAAGAAATCAACCTTCCCAGGTTCATTGGACCATTTCAGATTTTCGTTATTTAGTTTTTTTTAAAACTAAACTAGTTATAAGGTTGCAATCAAAACTATGTGAGACAACTATGAGAGACTCTCTACTTTGTCATGAATGTAGGGGACTTTATGATTGATTAAATTTTGGAATCATAAATTTGCATCAAATGATTGTTGATATTGTTGATATTTTTACTGGCAGGGTAAAAGAAATAGTGCCTCTCACACTTTTCCTACCTCAATTTTGTGTCTGCCTCCATCGCCATCATTGTTTTTTCATTATTCTTAAGACTCTGTAGTTTCAGCTATGAGAATGGAATATTTGAAGCTTCCACCTACAATTTATTTTTCATCATATAAAATCACAACTTTTGATCAATTATAAAAGCAAACTATCCATCCATCCATACACACAAACACACACACACACACAGAGAGAGAGAAAGAGAGAGAGAGAGAGAGAGATCTACAGTATACAGAAGATATCCCATGCATAACAATTTAAACAGATTTGAACAGGAAAAGAAATATGTGTTGTTAAGGTAAGGACTTTCCAGGGAAAAGTACATATAACAGTTGGAGGCTTCATAAAATGTTTCTACTCCATAACTCTGGAAATTTTTTGAAAATAACTGAAAATAATAAAATAATAATTATAAAAATATTCTACTGATTACCAACACTTTTTAATCCTTTAGTATAAGATATCCCAGCACTTGAGTATAATTTGTTTTATGAAATTAAAACATGCATATAGATTTTTGAGAAATTAAATAAATATGACTTTGGAACGTATAGCTTTAGAAAAGTTGAAAAGTATTGAAAAGCTAGACATGGCCAAGGTCTTTCTGTAGAGCAGAGCTAAAAATATGCTGTAAGTTATCAAGGATGATAGGAGGTAAAATCCAATAGCGTTAGAAATACTATTTTCAAATAAGATGTTGTAAAATACAAAAATACACTGAAGGGATTTCCAAACATTTTGCCCCTAACAAGATACTGAAGAATGGAAATAAATTTCTTTGAAATGCATGCTATTCTGCATTCCAGCTATATATTCGTGTCATGGCTGAAATGGAGAAATAATTATTACTGTACTTTTCCTTCTTCTGGAAATGAAATGTCTTGCAATGTAAGTTCCACTTAGAGCATATTAATATCCTTTACAATTTGCACCATATACCTTGATAACTTGACCTCCCAAAATGAAAAAAATATTTTTTCTTAGCCAGTTGCTTCATTTATTTGAATGCTCTACATGGATTTAAATTGTTTGAATGGTTGTTGGTGCTGAGAAGGAGCAGCTTTTTATAAAAGGAAGATGCAACATTTTAATTGCAAATGGTTCTCAAAACTTTTTAAAGTCAACGCAAAATAATAAAGGGGAGGAAGAAATGTAATACAGCAGATAATTAAGAAAGCTCAAAAAGTCAGTTGCAGAAGGAATTATGTTTGTAATACAAACTTGAGGAAGCTATGTCTTTGTCTCTCTTCCATACAAACCATGGATATGTTCTGTGCTCCCTGGATAAAAGCTTAAATCCACCTGACTTCAGAAGGTACCACAGTATTTGCATAACTTCAACTTTCTTAATGCTTTCAAATTTTGCAGTTGCAACTGTAGAAGTGGAACCTTGCAACCATCAAATGCATGCATATTTAACTAATTGGCTCATGGAAAGAAAGCTTGGTAGAAATTAGGCATGGCCTGAAAGTTCGTTGCGCTTAAAATAGCATCTGCAAAAGGAAAAATTCTTTCCCTGGTTGGGATAAGAACCAGTCATTTGCAAAGGCAAATGTAAAGTATGCAAATGTAAAGTAAAAGCAAAAATAAAATGAATATAAATTCACATCATAACTTGCATAGATCTCCTTCTTGTGCTCTTCTACCAAGGGATTCTCTTTGGAATACAAATTTGATTCAGATATATATTTTGCTTTAGAATTTATACATTTTCTAATCAAAGGTTTGTAACCAACCTTCTCAGTCTTTGTGAAGAGTCTGTGTACATTCTTGAAACAATACTATGCATACTTTTGATTGGATCTGCTAAATTCTGTTTTCTGCACCCACTTTTCCTTCAAGAGCTCTTGACAGTGTACATGGTTTCTTTCCTTTCTGGTTTCTCTTTTTATAGGATAGGATAGGATAGAATAGAATAGAATAGAATAGAATAGAATAGAATAGAATAGAATAGAATAGAATAGAATAGAATTCTTTATTGGCCAAGTGTGACTGGACACACAAAGAATTTGTCTTTGGTGCATAAGCTCTTGGTGTACATAAAGGAAGAAAATACATTCATCAAGAATCATAAGATACAACGCTTGGTGAAAGTCATAGATTACTGATAAGCATCCTCGTAACAGATCTGAAAATAGATTAGTTGAGAGAACTAACATGAAACCCATAGCTTGATCTTGATTTTATACATACATACATACATACATACATACATATATATCACTATTTCTTTGCTGATGTCCTGCATTGTTCCATACCACCTGTTGCGCTCTTCTCAGTCAAACTGATTTGTGGTAAATGTGTTCATTCAAATGGAGATTTGGGGAATAATCTTGGGAAAGTCAACCAAAGATCCACTGCTCAGATCTAGTGAAAGCTGCCATTGCTTTCTGTCATCAGGACTTTGCGATTGATTGAGGGTGGATCAAAACAGAGTGGGTCCATTCAATCCAAAGTCCACTTATTCTCAAGATGCTCTCAAGTAGGGGCTAAAATAATGCCAACATTGATGTTAGTATAGAACCTGTCTTAAATATCATTTGTTTGTCACCATTGAATGGTTTTTGAACAAATGGCTGTAACCCAAAGACTACCTATGTGAATACAACAACTTAAAATGCATTTATTTATCAGATTTCTAGGCCACTTAACCCAAGAATGACTCTGAGTAGCTTCATAAAATTAAAAAGATCTTGCCAAAAATATTATATCTTAAAGCCTCAGGGGGAAACAGGAGACTCAACTGAAGGCAGAGAAGCTTGTAATCTCTATGGGAGACAGTAACAGAAAAGGCCTGCTTCCTGGCTCGCACTGGGCGATATTGATGATTTAATGGAACTCAAAGCAAGCCATGCAAGAGAGACACTAGAGGAGACAAGGTGATCTCTCAATCATCTAGTTCCTATGCAACGTAGGTCTTTATAAATGATAACCAGAACCTTGAATTGCACTCAAGCCAATTGATAACCTCAGGTAGCAAGAGTGTTATTTGCATATAGTAAGCCTTCAATAGAATATGTTTAGCTCAGGATTGAATTGTGTAGTCCTTTATGCTTTTTGAACTCGGTTGCTTACTTACAGACTCACTACTTACACTACTTACTCACTACTTACAGACTCACTACTCAACTAGGTACAAAATCAGAGCTAGTGATGGCAGTGCAAACCCCACAGTTAGCATTGATGATGTGCTAGATGTTCTCTTTTCAGCTCCAATTTGGAAACGAGTTATGTTCCAGTTATTTATTAGGGTAATAGACTTTATCAGCCATTGTTCTGAATAAAGAAGGAGCAGGACATTCCTTTGGTTTCCTCTTGGATCATACCTGATTGATAGTAACCCACAGCTTTGTTTATATAGTTTAAAGAAATTGAAATGTACATCATTGTACAATTACATATAAAGTAAATTACAGTATTTGTATATAGAGTGTAACTAGGAAAGTAAGACAGGGAAATGCCATGTATCTATCGGGCAGTGAAATGTAATTGATTTTTTTAAAAAAAATGTATATCAATTCCATTTGGACCCCATTCTTCCTCTTTTTTCTTATTCGCCTAGGGTTAATACCAAATAAAACATTCATAGATATTTTGTTTGATTTGATCACTCTGAATCTTGGGTCCAATATGCTTCCTGATACCTGGCTACATCTCTCCATGTATGATGTAAGTATCCATCACGGCACTTGTGAGGGAAAAATCACAAAAGTTAAGATGGAGACCATAATTATACAGTTATGACTGCCAGCTTGACCATCCCTATGGACACCCCTTGTATATGTGATGTTGCTTTAATTTTTACTTTTACTTTAATATATTGCTAGGTGGTTGAATTACAAAATTTGAGAGAAAGAAACACGATTGTTTTTAATGGGTACTGTGGATGACAGGAAGAAATTATGGGAAGCTGCAGGCAAGTCAGAGGAGCATTTATCTCAGAAACAAATACCTCAGTCCAGTTGCTGAGAGATTGAGGGGGAGGGGAAGCATTGAAAAGAGAGTTCACTTTAATTATCTCGGTGTAACTCAGTGAGGCTGGAAAACACTTCACAGTTTTCAAGACTCTGTAAATTGACCTAAAATAACATTAAAACAATTGGAGTGGGGTAGGGGTGCTCAGTTGAGTCTTGACTGCTGATACTAATGGCTCTCAAGTATGAAATATACTTACCTAACTGAAATCTGTTGTTTTTGCTTCCTCTGCTTGCTATTTAGGAAAGCCTTGACAATGACACTTGTACTAAATGACAGTTTTCTGCTGGTGAATTATCGTAATTACTTTGCTGTTCCTATCAGTGAAGTCCTCTATATGTCTGTCCAATTATTTATCTGTCTAACTCCCACCTAATGGCTTCAGTAAAGTTAAAATCCAGCAACAATATCCTGTCCTATATCATCTATTCCTAATCTTTTTACTGTATGGGATAAAGCACTCATCTCCATGCTTGCAATTCTACGTTACAGTTGCAGAGCCTATCATTATTCCTACTTGTGAATTTGGACACAGTGGATTGGCGCAGATTCTTACATGCAGCTTCCCAGCCTTGGCCTATTCCTTCTGTAACGGAACTGCTTGAAACATTACAGAGATTTCAGGACGTGGATACTAAAGGATCTGGATTTGTCACCCTGGAAGAATATGATCAGGTTCCAATCCTTTAATTTGCCTTTTTAAGAGTTTGTGACTGAATCTTACTGAGAGCAATGAGATAAGCAGGTAGCCAGCCCTATATTGTGAGATCATGTCACAATCAGTGCCCATCAGTGCAAGCAAAATTTTATTTTGCCCACCATTAGTCAAAGTACCCCTCTCTAAGTGTAACTGCTAATCCCACCTCCTTTTTCTAAACATTGTGGCTTTTCAGCACTATGCACATAGACTTAGGAGGTAAACCTCATTGCATGCAGTGAGACGTATTTCTTAGTAAATATGTATTGGGTTGTACTTTACATGTGGTTTGTGGCTCAGCATGGGCCACTGTGTCTGTATGTCTGAGGCTATGCACTGATACGTATGAAAAATGAAAACAACTGAATATAAGTCAGTTTAACTCAATGAAATTAATACATTAAATAACTGGAGGGGACTGGACGCTAAAACATATGAAGAACAGTTGCAGGAACTGGGTATGTCTAGTTTAATGAAAAGAAGGACTAGGGGTGACATGATAGCAGTGTTCCAATATCTCAGGGGCTGCCACAAAGAAGAGTCGAGATATTCTCCAAAGGACCTGAGGGCAGGACAAGAAGCAATGGATGGAAATGAATCAAGGAGAGAAGCAACTTAGAACTAAGGAGAAATTTCCTGACAGAACAATTAATCAGTGGAACAACTTGCCTCCAGAAGTTGTGAATGCTCCAACACTGGAAGTTTTTAAAAAGATGTTGGATAACTATTTGTCTGAAGTGATGTAGACTTTCCTGCCTAAGCAGAGGATTGGACTAAAAGACCTCCAAGGTCCCTTCCAACTATATAAAATTCTATTCTATTCTAACTTCATGTTACCTTTAAAAGAAGTGCTTTAGGTTTCATTCTGGTTTGTAAATATTTCCTCATCGTTTCTTTAGAAAGACAAAAGAGTCAAGGTTAGATTCTCAAGAATCTCTGTGGTTCTTGAGGCATAATAATACATTAAAAAATGGATGCTTTGTGCATGCTGGTACAATAGCATGCAATCAGAGAATCTATGCTCAGTCCTCTTAAGCATGTAAGACGGGGCAATGGCATATTCCCCCTCTCAAAAACAATGCAGTTCACAATAAACTGCATTTTTCTCCTGTGTTCAAAATATAGAAAATAGGAAAATCTAAAGTGGCAAATACACGAACATTACTATAATGCTAAAAAGTTCACAATATCTGTAACAATGTAATCCTTGGCACAATGTCTGCCGATTCTCATTCATCCAGGACATGGTTATCCCAAAGATGCTTTTTCAAAAGGCAACTGGACTTTGTTTTTCCTTAAAGACATTTCGCTTCTCATCCAAGACATGCACTGGAATTTAAGAAAAAAAGTATTGATCTGACGTCTTCAAATATTGATACAATCGCAAGATAGAAAAAATGCTGTGAAAGATCATGTATAAATTGTACTGGCACTTTCACATTCACACAGTTTGAGATTTAGAACACAATTCAGCAGACATCACAGTGGTTGAAAAAACCCAAGTCTTACTTATAGATGTGACAGTTCCAAATAATGGTTAAATAGCTCAAAAGTAGCTGAAAAGGATTGTAAAATATCATGATTTAAAAAGTGAAATGGAGATTATGGGATAAACCAGCAATTTTTTTTCCTAATAAGTATTTGAATTTTAGGAGCTTTAATAATAAAACTTGTCAAAACAACTGAAAAAAAATAGAATTATTCAAGTTTACAACATGTATCTTACAAATAGCAACTCTGCTTGGAAGCACAAAGAATTAGAACAGTTCCTGGACAATTCATAAAAAAACCTCTCTTTTTACAAGCCCGTAATCCCTTAATTCGGGACAATTCACTTTTGAATAAAGTTTAAATTGATCCTAAACTGCCATCATTTGCTAAGTGATCTTCAGAAGAGAATTAATCATTATCATCAATGAAGTTTGAATGCTATTGTGATGCTATTTTTATTATACCAAACACTGAAGCTACCATTTGAAAAAATTTTAAATAGTCATTTCCTACCCTGTAACCTTTTTCCTTGAGAGACTTCAATTTTGTTTTCTTTTGGTTTTGTTTGTTTTCTTTTGGGTTTTTTTTATTCTTCTCAGCAGTTTTCTCTTTGGGACTCAAAGCGACTATTACTTCTCCAACTCTGATTGCTAGCATACTCTATGCCTTCAGCCAGGTTCCCTCGTAAAGTTGCAGAGGTGAAAAACTTATTTTTCCAGTAATATACATTATCATAGCTCTCCTGCTCCATAAAAGCAGGTAGAAAAAATTAGGATATTGGAGAAAAATAGTGCTAGAATTATAATTTAGTAAATATGTTGTGTGAATTGAATGTGAGGAAATTGTTCCATGGTTGAGATTAAATATTTGGGCAAATTTGTCCATGCTCAGTTAATGAATCAGCTTTGCATTCGCTTTCCAAATCCATTCAAGTTAACATAGGAACTTCTTCTTTTGCCACTTAAAATATCATGAGATAATTTTGGATTGGAGAGAAGGAGAGAGTATACTTGCTTTCTTCTTCCCAATGGTCCAGGTTTAACTGTTTAGCTCAAGTCTATTAAAAAAAAACTGCATGCTGTTTTCTGCTTTGAATATAAGAATGTATAAGGATTTTGAGGATTCTGTACTAAAAAAGAAAAAAGGGGGAAAACAAAGGCATTTATGCAGAAAGGCCTATGTTTTTGGATTCAAAAAGCCCATTCTTGTGCATTGTGTTTAATGGAGATGCTCAATCAAATCCTATCATATTGGCACTGGACAAGATAAAAAAGGGCACATGAAATCAGTGAACCTGGAGCAGAAGTGGAGGGATTTCTCAATATACAGTATAATTGGAAAGCTAGTTTGGAGTCGTGGTTAAGGCACAAGGCTAGAAACCAGGAAGCTCTGAATTCTGGTCCTGCCTTAGGCACAAAATCCAGCCTTAGACTCAAAGCTCAGACCTAGGAAGAAAGATATGGCAATCCACCTCCAAAATTTTGCCTGGAAAACTGCAGGGACATGTTTAGGCAGTCAATAGAATTGAATAGTGGTTATGATATCATACTTTCTTGAGAAGAATTCAATGAGTACAAAGGCCAATACCACCTAAAGTGCTGGTGTTTATATAAATATAATATAGCATTTCAGATAGCTGCCTTCCACAGATTCCAGCCTTAATAGGAAGACTTCCTCCAACAGTTTTGCAATGTCATGTTGTTTCAATAAAGAATGGAGTGAGTGCTGTTTCTTACCATGGATTTTAATGTGCGGTAAAGACTTATCAAGTGGTAAAACTTCCCCACATTAATCATTCAGTAAGCTCGTAATCTGTATTCATTATCCTCCTTTATATAAACTTTCAAAAAACATTGTAATGGAGCAATAGCTGTCTTCAGGAAAAAGTGGAAGCTGCAACAGCCTCTCCTTCAAATCTTGGGACAGAAAAAGTTTTATTCCCTATTCAGGATAATTAAACCCACAAAGAAATATAGATCTGTTTTAAACACACCTACGCAGACTTGTGGTATTTTACTTCATATAGGTAAAGAGAAAAAAACATACCAAAAACTCCAGAAACAACACAGGAAGTTGGGTAGAACGATTTTTTTGGGTTCAGCATCTCATACCCCATCCTCCGATGTTTGAAATGATAAATGGGGGTGGGGAAAGAAAAACAAACAAATGTGTTTTGAAACAAATCAAGATACCAAATCCACCCATCATTTTTAAGAATCACTTTTCAGAATGAAATCCCCATAATATTGTTGAAAAGTAATATCTCAGTGGAGCTTTCTAATTTGATGATGATCCCAGTATGAACTTTCCACATGTTTTTGAAGTGTGGAAAAGTTGAAAAATGTAAATGTTGTGAATAGTCATAGTTCAGAGGATAAGGTTTTGATTTGTTTGCTTTAGGTTGGTCTGTGGTTTAAAGAAAGTGAAGATTTAGGCATTCCAGAAAGTCCTATAGAACCTTTACCATTTAACCGTCAGAAGCATCTCATAGAAGTAAGTATAAATATTCAGAAGCCATAATCCAAGGGTAAGTCCGCCATTTTCAGTGGATTCCATACACTGTCTGCTACATTCCAACAATTCTGAAGTAATGAGCAGATGCTATTTGTAGTTAGTTTTTTTTTAAAAAATATATCCATTCTAAGGTACAGTTGATTATTTGCTTGACTTTCAAATCTGAACACAATTCATTGTCCATTTCTGATTATTTGTAACAGTTAAATTCAGACATTTCTGCTTTTCAATACTGATCCTATATCTATGGAGTTATTTCTTAAAATAGAAATTAAAAAATAATGATAGTTGGATGAGAGAGCGGCTTAAATATTTTAATAAATGGGGTAAAAGACAAAATTTTAGAATTAACAATTTTATGGGGATTTTTCTATGCATGTAGATTGACCATGCAATAGTACATATACATTTTCATGCTGAGACACAACCTGTCTTATAATTTCTTAAACATTGTCAACTGAAGAAAAACAAATCCTCTTTTTCTTCCTTATTCTCAGGCTGTATGAATATTTCTTTTTAATTCCTCTATAGTATTTCAGAGCTGATACTCTTTCTTGCTATAAGTATTTTCTGTCTTATGAGTCTCCCTGGTTATCCACTTTTCCTAGTCTGAAAAAGCTTAAAGAATTCTAAGAGAATAAAAAATATCCTACTGGTGAGACCAAGGCCCATTTCATGTCAACATTTGTTCCTCAAAATGACTAACCCAATGCTTCTGGTACCTGGAAGCAGGAATAGAGACATAACCTTTTTACACTCCCTATGATTGGATCGTGCTACCTCCAGCCTCTTGCTAATCCTTCATATAAAAAAATGAATAACCGAAGCCCACCTTTGTGTAGTCATTCAAAAACCTTTCATTTTTGTTGGAATAACATTGAGATCCAGACTGTTAAAATGTAACTATCCTTTTATCTGTGGATTCCTACTTTCATACATGTCCATTACAATGTAGAAGTCATAGGTTCATTGTTTTTGACATGCATTTTAGACCTTGCATTCATAATTAAATCTATACTTCACTTCCTTGCATATGTTTATCAGTTCCATTCCAAAATCAGGCCATTTTCTTTCAGTTCTATTGCAGATCTCTTTTTCCTGCTTTTACAAACAGAGAACCTTCCTTCCTTCCTCCCTCCCTCATTTTATTTTACTTCCCTTCCTTTGCCTTCCCTGATTAATTCACCTTTTTACCATTTACTCTTTTTTTTCATGCCAAGTTGCAACCTTCCATGTGTGATGGTCATCATTAGATGAGCGTATAGATGATGTCCTCTGCCATCCATCAAAGCCTTCATGTAAAGATGCTTAGTATCACAGTAAAGGCCTAGAACTAGATTCCCCACCTTAGCCACATCCATACTGAATTGTTGTGATTAAGCAAAATATTCAATACAGTATGTCAGTTAATGGAACTGTTTCTTCTTTTTTGCAGTTTTTGTTCTATTTATTTGCTGATCCTGAAAAAGACCCTCCTCAACTGAACTACACTAAGATGCTACTCTACTTTGCCTCTTACCCTGATGCTGTAGATGGTGTCTATCGAGCCCTTAGTGTCACAACAGGGATATATATTCAAAGGAAGAGGGAGAAACACTTTTCTCTTCCTCATATGGTAAAAAAAATTCTTGATAATAAAAATTGTATCTTGATTTGGTTGGTGACAAAAATATTTTTTTTTCCATAAGACCAGCCTCTTCTGATCTATCATTATATTTGTTGCACAGAGCTTCTGGAGAAAAGGCAGGATACATGTGCAATGTACAGAATAGTACCTAAGTCCAGTTAATACACCATTGGAACAGATAGTAATAAGAATGCTGTCAGTGTTCCAACTAACCAACTCCAAACCAATAAACTCTGAGACAGGCAGTTCCTCAAAGTTCCGTTTTTTTAGAGTTGTCATATTGGCACATCTGGGAAAACCTGAATCTGAGAGTTCTGGGTTTTCCCTTCCCAAAAGAGAAATCAAAGATCCATCTCCTGCATTCATCAGTCCATCACATGGCCCAGTCAAATCTTCATCCCAACTGGAGACATTCCCCCAGTCACTCCACTTCAGGTGCAGGGCAACATGTCCTTGACTCTCTGAGAAAGAATGTTGTTATGTCTAACCTTCTACCCCACTATGAAATCCCCGCTCCCAGCCTCGAAGTTTCCAAATAAAAATATGGCTTCCAAGGCTGACAAATGCAGTGCTTGGTAGTTCATATTGATTAGTTATGTTCAGTTCTCTGTTGCAGCCAGCCTTCATGCCTAAGGTGGGGCTAGAAATCACAGTCTCCTGGTTTCTAGCCTGGGTCTTAACCACTAGGTCATCTTCAAGAAAACTTGAAAAGCTTAGTTCAGGCAAAGCACACTATGCATGTTTCAGTAGACCTCTTGGCAATATTATAAAATTGTAGGCAAGAATGCAATACCAGTTAAACCGATTGAAAAAGAGTGACCTTTTTACAGTAGTACAGCAAGGTTTCCGCAGCTTAATAGAGTTTGCAAAGGTTTCATTCACACTAGAGGAACATCCAGTAGTTTAACTCTATTAAAAACAATGTTTGGAAGTTGTTCAGGATTCTAGGGGGCAGAACTTTGGTTTCATCCATCTCCTTGTGGATGACAGTGGAAGCTCACAGTTTGGAATCCTTTTTTTATGTACTGAATATGAGAAATAAGAGACAGCGAGAACCTGAGGAGGAATGGTATCTAGTCAGAGAAAACTGCAACACTCTGACTGGCTTTATTGTATGTGTCCCAAGCTGGTGGTCTTTCTGAGAGTCACATATCTTGCAATTGGTCACTAAGAAACTATCTACCCCACCCCCAAACCGCATGGTATCTTTGGCTTGTCTTTGTCAGTTTTTATCATCTGCTGAGCAGCTCCTAACCCTGGCTACCCAGGAGGAACAGGCAGAAGAGGAGGCTGGTGAAGAAGGGGAGGAAGAAGCAGAGGAAGAGATGGAAGAAAAGGATAAAGAAGATGACGCCCTGTCTATCGGCAAAGACGGATACATCTCTCTAGCTACACTTCTCCATGTATTCCAGTATGAAACAAACAAAGCTTTCGACAATCACAGATTTAGTAGTCATCTGACAGAAGAGGACAATTATGAGGTTGGTTATAGCTTATAGCTCCATTGTTTACATTCATATCGTTCTTTTATTCCAATGTTTGTGGCAAGCAATGTGTCAGTTACTGACATTTAAAGAAATGGGGTAAGTTTGACTAGCAGTTGTACTGTTTCTGAAATAGGATCTGATTAGAGGTCTTGAACCTGCAGGCAAGAAATATATATATATGCACATATGGAACGGCTGTGTGATTCAGTATTAGATCTATGCAGAGTGAAGTATGTGGAGTAGATGAGATTGTCAGCCTCTTTATTTATTTTCACCTAGTTGAAACTCATTAGTAAAGCCATTCCATTGTGTCAACAATAATCTAAACTTTAAGTGAGGCATGATAAGAGCTTTATTGAATAAATTATGTTTCACATCTTCCGTCTGCTCTGTCTCTCCAAGAATATCTTATGAACTCCTCCTGATCATGATATATTACATTTGCAGTTAGAAAGCCTTTATTTGATCATGGCATTTATTGAATGGTACCTGGCATGCTTTGTTGTGTGATGCCTCCAGGAAAAACAGATATCCGATTTATAGGATTAATATAAAGATTGTACTGTAGTGTTCTGTTCTACAGGTAAGGATTTGCAGGTCTTGAAATGTGCTCTCCTACCGGACCTTCTAAGCAACAACCAGGTCCTGTGGCAACATCAGTGCTAGCCAGAAAAGTTACTCTTTCAGTATTCATTATCAAGTTATGAAACTGAAAAAGAGACATTATTATGACATTTCACCCCAGGACAATTCTGCCTTCTATAGCAGTATTCCTCTATGTTGCTTATTGTTTTTTCAGTTGGTTCATTTACTAATAAAGTAAGCTCTCTTCATTTATTCTTAAAGCATTTCATAAAGGTATACAAGGATCTTGGCTCTGAAGAGCTGCAGCCCATCAAAATTGAACTCCTTTTGAAGCACCCCTTCATTCACGACTTAATTAACAACTATCAGGGGTACAAGCTTCCTGTAAGTATCCTTCTTTTGAAATAGACAGTATCTAAGTTACTAGTAGCAGCAGTAGTTATTAATGGTAGCAATAGTAGTGGTAAGAATAGTAGCAAGTAGTAGTTTCCACTACATACCAGGGCTTTCGCTATGTGTAGAAGAGGCACTGAAGGCATCATTGGCCTAGGTTTTTTTCCCCAAAGGTTTTTATTTTTTAAATTTTATGCATCTTTCCACATGAGCAACATGTTCCCAGGTTATAACTCACATCATTATCCATTTCACTCATCTTTAAATAAGTTTACATTTCATATTTCAGTTCATTAATTCAATATCAATATCATTTCATCCATACATAAGTTTTCAAATCTTTATCCCCTATTATTTCCATTTTCAGCTTACCTCCTATTTTATTTTTCATTACACATCATTGTTATCCTTAGTTTTCTCTAATCTGATATATAATAAACAATCTAAAAAGAGTAAAACTATAGATAAAACCAATATATTTATGATCCACATGGTATTTTCCATTCCCCTACTTTAATCATAATAGGATATTCTCATTGTACAATTCTAATATCCATTCAATAATCAACTGTATATATAGTCAACTGTATATATCCCCTCCAATAAATCACTAAAATAACTTCTTAATATCTCTCATTTTATCTTCACTTTACTTATAAACGTTAATAATCATATCTTTAAAAAAAAATTCATTTCCATTCCCTTGTTTTGATCCTCCCCAAAAGGGGGTTCATAACAACACATTTTATATACAGTTAATATTCATATATGTAATTACTCATTCCTAAAATATTTCCCTATACGTTTTAAATTAAACGCCAATATACGTTCCATGTGGTATCCCCCTTATAAAATCCCTAACCAGGGGTGGGATTCACATTTTTTAACAACCGGTTCTGTGGGCGTGGCTTAGTTGGTGGGTACGGCTTGGTGGTCATGTTATTGGCTGGGCGTGTCCAATTCAACATCACTCACATTGAGGCACGCATCTCCTTGCCTGGCCTCTCATGACTGTGGGGATGCTGCAACAGTTGTAAGTATGAAAAATGATCATAAGTCACTTTTTTCAGTGCCATTGAAACTTTGAATGGTCACTCCACACAAGAAAAGTACCAGCAAAGGAAGGGAAAAAAAAAACTCCAGAGAAGTTCCTGAGACAGGAAGTCTAGTCCTGCCAAGAATGTAAAAAGGGTTAATGGAGAGGCAGTTTCTGTAAGCAACACCAGAATATTTCCTTCCTGCCTTCCTGACAGGATTAGGCCAGTAAGTTCTTCTAACAACCGGTTCTAGAGAATAGGTGCAAACCTGCAGAATCCCACCCCTGTCCCTAACCCTTATCTCTAAATTTTTCGGCTTTATTGTTTATTTTAATTTGAGCCAACTTTCCCTTTTCTAAATTTCCCTGGTCTTCCTTCCTTCCTTCTAACATTTCACCCATCTTCTCTCCCCACCTTTACTGTTCTCTTTTTTTGAAATTTCTTCTTGTATAATTTTTTCTTCTTTTGTTTGACCCTGGGAGCATTTTCTCTTTTATTTGTTAAGTCTGTCATCAATATCATAGTTTTAATTCCTTTAGTGTCTTTTGGCAAAGTCTCTTGATCTCCATGTCTGTCTGAGCCTCTTTCTTCTTCCTTTAACTCCACCTCACCGGCATTTCTTTGTTCTGCAACCATTACCATTATTTTCTCTTCCAGTATTTCTAATAATTCCCTTCTTTCTTTGAACATTCCTTTTACCATTTGTAACTCCAACTTAAAGTCTTTGCTTATTTCTTCCATTTTTATAATAAATTGTTAATATTCAAAGTCTTTTATTGCAATCCTTGCCAAAAGTCTCCTTTATTTCTTTTGTTAATCCTTCTGTCTCTTTGTCACAATCAACACCCAACAGCCCCAGGAAGTTGCATCTGTATATCCTCTTGGTAGAATTTCTCCCCACTTTTCCCCAAATTTCTGGTGTTCTTATTATTTTATTAACAATTAGAAGTCCAGTAAATTTCCATATAATTTTGTAGGGGAAAAAAAGTCATTAGATGGCACTCTGTATCTCTTTCCACTTTTTAAAGTTCTTTTCTCTTCTCTTTTAATTATATTAAACATTAATTCCAACCATTTCCACAAGTAACTTTCTTAGTATTAACCAATTCCAGGCAAGTCCAGCATTTAATCCAATGCCTAGTTAATGTCAATTTATATTATTCAAAGTTTAGTCTCTGATTCCATTGTAGCTTTTTATAAACCAATTTTGTTTACCTTGTATTTTCCTTTTTTTTTCCTGTTTACCACTATGTTACTCTTATGCAAGGGCACTTTCTTTCTACTTCTCGAGGTTGTTAAGAAAAAAATCAAGATCTTTATCTGGTTGCACACCTCTTACCACTTCACCGCTCCAGTGCAAAACTTAAATCCCAGCAGCTTTCCATCTTCAGGGCAGCCATTTTGGACTGCCATTTCTCCCTGTCTTCCAGGGGAGTAATACTTAGCCAGGGTGGGGAGATGCGGCTCCCCTTGACCCAGCTGGCGGTCTCCCCCTCTTCGCCCACCCCTCCGAGGTTGGTAAGGATGACACCGGTCCCGTAGGGACCCTTCTGACAAGGGAAACACGGACCCAAGCCACGCACGATCACAGTCTCTGACCGTTGTCAATGGAAGTGCCACCGGAAGTCATCATTGGCCTAGGTGATTGTGCTGTACCCAGGCCATGTAGCCAGCCCATTTTTTATGAAAAATAACAGAAAAGTTAGGAACCAAAAAAAAAAAGATTACTTTGGTTGTGTCATTGGTAACTTTTGTTATTTCAGTCACCAAGCAGCTGTTTCAGTTGCCGATCAATAAACTTTAATATTTATTTCTGTACTTTGTGTAATAAAGAGCTATCATATTAATGATACTTTTCTTTTGTAGTAAAGTTAGGTTCAGTTTGGCCTTCAAATTCCTGCCTGAAGTTGAGCCAATATTGTCTGCCTCCAGAATCATGATCTTTAAAATCTGAATAAACAGTTTGAAGATCATTGTTTCCTGCCTTGAGCTTCCTCCCCATATAAAGTTTGTTCAATCTCTCTTTTCCACGAAGACTCAAGGATTAATATCTATAAATAACAAGCAGGATGAATGAGGCCAAAAACAGATGATAAATTATAAGAGCCAGGCCTGTCAACCTTGGATCTTCTCATAAAAATTAGAGAGCCTCTATATGTGTTCAGAGAAGCAGAGATTGAAAAGAACACTTTCATTCTTGGTTTCTTGGGTGGGTCCCATCAGAGCTGGAAATATATATTTCAGTTTACACTCGTCTTCTAGATGTCACCTCCATGAACAACACAAAGCAATTCCCACCTTAAGAAACATCAACCCAAATAGTCCACTAAAATAATACTCTAAAAGGCATAAGATCATATCCACATCATCTGTCAATGAACATATCTCAGCCTTTGGCTAGCAGTAAATCTGCCACTAAAACCAGACGCTCAAGAATACTGTCCTCAGTAATGGAAAAAAAGCCTTCTTAAGAGCCTTAATGCCCTTCAGAGGGGAAAGAGACATTGTGATCTCAGGAAGAGGTAAGCTATTTCAAAAGGAATGGGGGTTGCAAGTAACTGGGCCGCCACCAACCTTATATGGGATACAGTACTTTGGTTGGCTTATTGGACCAGCAGATTTTATTCTGTAGGGTCTCACTGCAGGGTCTCATGGTACCCAAATTGTGGGCTATAAAGGGCTTTATAGGGAATAATGAACACCTGGAAGCAAACTTGTGAACAAGGCCAGCTTCAGCAATAGGAGTATTATCCAGCTATTATAGCCTCCCTTTGTGACAGATGCACTTTGCTGTAATGTTCAAGTTATCTTCAGAGATAGCTCTATGTATAGCAAAATGCAATAGAGAGAAAATCAGGATATGATTACTGATGTCAAAGCATACGCACATCCATTGGTGGGATTGAATGTACATCTCAGTGGGAGAAACCTACATCATTTTTGTAGCTTCAGGAAAATAAAATAAGACATACTTTCAAGGTATGGGTTGGTAGCAATGGAAATGTTAATGTCCAAATTTGGTGCACCTATTATTTGAACCCAAAGCTAAGCCTTCTGTTTCCCCTCCTGCATTTCTCATTCAATTGAAGAGGAATAAAAATTGTCTTTGAATTGAAAAGCCCTGTTATCCACCCCTTCCCATAAAAAATTCCTCCAAACCACATAAAACAAATGACATTGCAAATAAAAACCTTATCTTTTAAGAATAAAGCAAAAAAAAAAATATCAACCAAGCAGTATTGTTCAGAGATCTCTTATGAGATTAAGCTGAGCAAACTGAAGGTGTGGTTTGAAAGGTGAAAGCTATGCCACTTGCAAAGCTGACAAAATCAGAGGAGAAATATAGCATGTTGTTCCAATGAAGGTGAATACTGGCTTCTAATACTGCCTATGTGTCTTGCAATTCATTGTGGGGGCAAAACACATTGTTCCTAATAAATATTGTGGCTTGTTTGCTGGGTACAGATGTGGCATGCATCTTGCTTTGCGCCTGCACCAAACAGATAAGCACTTTGAGCACTAAAATCAAGAAGTCTGACTCATTCCTAGTAGAATACAATACAAATTAGAACATCAATAGTAAAGCTTTTTGGCTTTCATATCCCCAGCCCAAACAATGCAAAGAAGCAGATGATTCTGTTTTATAAAATCATATAATCCAAATATACTGCTAGAATAGAAAAGAATTTTTTGTTGGCCAAGTGTGATTGGACACAATTGGCCAATTTTATCTTGGTACAAATGTTCTCAGTGTACATAAAAGAAAAGATACATTCCTCAAGCGTCAAGAGTCATGAAGTACAACACTTAATAATAGTCATAGGGTAAATAAGCAATCAAATCATACGAGGAAACAGTCAATATTGTCTTTGTCTGTAACAGTCAATGTTGTCAATATTTGGACAATACTGCTATTGTCCAAAGAATTATTCAAGGAAGAGGAAGATTAATAATTATTTTTTTTATGCCACCACTCTCACTGATACAGCAACTCTAGGTGGCTTACAATATAATTAAAAAGTAAAAAAGAATACAAAGCAATTAAATTTAGGAGAATTAAATAGAAACACTTAAAAATGAAGGTGATAGGTGGCTGGAGTAGGGATCATCAGCTACTCCCAATGTAGCAGACCCTATCAGGTCTCCAGGTCAAGTAACAAGCCAAGTTTTCAGGCTCTTCCAGAAGACCAGGAGAACGGGGGCGGACCTTACTTCCAACAGGAGCATATTCTAGATCAGTGGTGGCTAACCTTTTTGGGCTCCTGTGCCAAAAATTGCCAGCACCCAGAAGGCAATGTGCATGCCCTCCCAGGCTCTCTGCGCATGCACACACAATCCTCCCACGCCACTTCCTTACCTGCAATGTGCCTCCCAGCTGATTTTCAGCCCATTTGAGGCCTTTTTCGGCCTCCCAGAGGCTCGAGGAAAGCTTCTGCAGCCTTTGCAGGCCAAAAAGTGGGCCCATTTCATCAATTACGGTATTTCCAGAAATATAGGAAGTGATGAAATGGGCCTATTTTTCGGCCTGCAAAGGCTTTCCTCAAGCCTCTGGGAGGCTGAAAAAGGCCTCAAACAGGCTGAAAAACAGCTGGGAGGCACGCACATGCGCAGTGAGGTAAGTTTGCCTGCGGTTCGCGTGCCGGCACAAATGGCTCTGTGTGCCACCTATGGCACGCATAAAAAAAAAACATATGGCGTGCCATAGGTTCGCCATCACAGTTCTAGATTGTCTACCACTCTGAAACCATGTCTCTGTATTCATACAAGATCAGTGGTGTTGGAGATATGAGTTAATTATTTCCAGCTCTGTTTCTATATGGTTGAACCTCTGCAAAGTTAGTTCTTCTATTGTATGGGTTCTCTCTTATCACCAAGCCCCACCCAACCAGGACAATTAAGATTGCAACGTTTGCTTTCAACTGGCACTTGCTGCCATTGCCTTCCCATCCATTTCCAATCTGAGTTACAGCAGAAAAGCTGAAATAACAAAAATGTCTTTCCCTTTCTAGTACTTGAGATAGATGGGGGTATCTTAAACTAAACTTAAAGTTTGCAGAACTATAAGCCTTCTGAATAGGTTACCAACTTGTAACCTTCCACTTTTAAAACTTGTAAAACTATTAGATTTCTACTTGTGTCCTAGAAATTTTCAAGCTAGGATTTTGGCTACATTTTGATTTTTTCTTTGCCTTCCATACAACAGCTGTTCTTTCTGGAGAAATTCAAAAGACTATCCCTTCCCCCAAGCTTCTTCTTCACTGTGTAATTTCATGGGGAGACAGCAGAGTTCAGGATTTGCTAAACTGGTTCTCACTGGCCATTGTGTCTCTCTTGTGATCTAACAGGGATCTCTAAAGCTTTGCACTGCTAGGGCCTGTTAAATTTGAGGTGCTGCGCATCTTTTTCTCAATAGAGGGGATTCTCGCTTGAGCTCTTTTCCTGACTCTTAAGCTTTAGGTCTTATAAGGAAATGTTAACTGGAACATTTTGCAGTTTCTCTTGCAAATAAGCAGGTGAAACAAGCAGGGTGGAATTGAAGGGTGTGCGTATGTATTCTTTCTCTTTTTTGTGTGTGTTCTATTGGGAAAAGGACCCAAAGTTGAGTAAAAGGTCTCCTAGCCACAACTGCTATCTGCTCCTCAGTTACCTCCCATATATCTAGGACAGGGGTGTCAAACTTGATTTCAGTGAGGGCCATATCAGGGTTGTGTTTGACTTCGGGTGGCCAGGGTGGGCATGACCAGCTCAACGTCACTTGTGTCGGGGGTGCCTGTGGTGGCAAGAGCGCTCTGTCAGCAAAAATGGGCTCCTGAGCTCCATTTTTTGCTACGACAGCCTCCTGCAACCTTCTGCCAGCAAAAATGGAGCTTGGGAAGGCCTATCCATGGCCCTCCCAAGCTCCATTTTCACTGGCAGAGGCACCGCAGGTCAGTCCTTTGCTGTTTCCAGGGCAGCCCTGATGGCCAGATCTAAGCACACCTGCAGGCCTGATCCGGCCCCCGGGCCTTGAGTTTGACACCCCTGGTCTAGGAGGATCCTCCAAACTGTGCACAAGGTCTGTGTATGGTAGTGCGCCCATCCAGGGTCAAACATGGAAAGTCCTTGGAATCTGTAACAATATGTAGAAAAGCCAGTAGGGAGGAGAATGGAATAAGGAAATGCTGCCTGAGAGACAGCATGCTCCCCAACTTGATAGTGGGCAGGACAAGAATCTCAGAAGGGACCCTTCCTAGTTTCTTGGGCTATAAAGAAGATGGCAGAATACTGTACTTTGAGACTTACAAAATTGATGTCAGCATTACCAGATAAACCAGACAGGAAACACGACCAGATAAGCTAATTCTACTTTATTGTAAAGCTACATTAACAATCTTGCAAATATGAAAGTAAGGTTTTTCTGCTGGTTCATTTAGAGCCCAAGAAATTAGGGAGAGTCCCTTTTAATCCTCTTGCTCTGCCAGCTGAGGGCTCTGGTGCCTCTTATTTGACTCTTTCCTAGGCAGCAGCATCTCTTCACCCAATCTCCCAAGGTCTTTCCCACATACCTTTATAAGAGCCATGATGGCACCGTGATTAAAATGTAGTGTTGCAAGCTGACTCTGCTCACTGCCAGGAGTTCAATCCTGACTGGCTCAAAGTTGATTCAGCCTTCCATCCTTCCAAGGCCAGTAAAATGAGGAGCCAGATTGTAGCTGACTGGAAAAAAAAGTTTTATGTGTGTGGTGGGCAGAATTGTTTGTGATTAAAAATGCCATCTATTCATAGGAATAAATTTGTATCGGGATCTCAGTGTGGTAAGGACTTTTTAAAAACAACTTACTTATACCCAGCACAAACAATTCTCACCCAACCCATGAATCAATGTTTCCTTTTTGGGTTGTGGGAGGAGAGGCCGTTAATGCAATTTTGATGCAAAATTGGTGGGCAGAGAGCACCTGGGGAAGTTGTGATAACATCCTGTCAATAGCTTGGGAGTGCCCCTCTGTTTATGAGAAGATAGCTCTTAGGTATATATTATTCCCCTTCTCTAGGCAGGTGTTAAATTAGAGAATGGGTGCCTCTGCTTTAGCTTAATAGTGGCAAGTAGGAATACAGAGAAGAAGCAATCAAATAAAATACCAGGGTACAATTTGCAAAGCTCTGTTAAATAAAACTTCTAAGTGCCATGTGGAGGAATTTGAGATATCCAAGAGGGCTTTCATTGGCTAATCCTTTTTGGTGCAGGTATTTCTTGTATGTAGAAAAGGAAATAAGCCCTAGCTGCTCATCAGTCTTCTATGGGGCCAATACACTGTAGCCTGTACAATGATGATGACAGGTATCAGGATGTCCTGGTTCAAATAATCCAGTTATGCATTGGCCCCCACATCTGCTCCAATGATATAAGTCATATACCTTGCCTGGTGATGTCATGATACATGTATTGTACTCTGTCCCCAGCCCAAGTGGGACAGTAGAAGGTTCGTTGAAGCATAGCCTTCTTCGCTCTGAATAAGACCCATTTTATTTTGCTTTTTAAAACACATTAAAATGGTTTGAAAGGTTCTGCAGAGTAGGACTGAATTCTGATAAGATCATCGGTACGCAATGGGAAATCATCTGAGTAATAAGTTTGTTAGGACACAAAGCATATTGAAAAACTAATGAGAGATGATATTCCTTTGTATTGTTTCCAGCATATTTTGCTTGCTCTATATTGTGTACACTAAGACAGACTATCTCTCTCTCTCACACACACACACACATACACACCGTGTTCTTCAGAATCTCTCCTTTCTATTTCCCTCTCTCAATCTTTCCTCTGCAGACACTTACCTTTTTCTTCCACAGAGAGTTTGATTTTGTACTTGGGATAACCCAAACTGAGAGGAAGGCTTTTTGTTTTTATTTATTTGTTTGTTTGTTTGTTTGTTTACCTGTTTGCTTTTTTTACAGAACATTTACTGGACAGATGGAACATTTCCCTGGGTCAGGGACAAAGGTCTGGCATGTTATAGCAGATGGAAAACATTGATGCTAATGTTCAAAGGGTGCAAAGATAGCATTTCCCCCCACAAATAACAGCTTTTAAAATATGAACCAACTAAGGTAGAGTTATTGGTTGGTTGTTGCAGACTTAAGCTGGATTTGTTTGTTTTCAGTGCTGTGTTTGTTTAGAGGAAAGTTACCTTGAATGCAGCAATCTTCTACATTCTAGTTCTACCTGCAGCTGTCATTATCTGAAACTAATCTTGCCCTTGTTGGTGTAGAATATATTTTTAAAATATGTTTAGATTCGGTTTTATATAGATAAAACCGAATCTAAACATATTTTAAAAATATTTTCCTGTTCTAATGTAATTTATAATTCAGTTAATTTAAACTGTCAAATGTTTTTTGCAACAATGCAAGTTCTTTTCCTGTACACTTTGCAAAGAAACTTCATAATAAAATAAATCCCAGTGTAATTGAGCATAGCAAGTTTGATAATAAGAGAATAATCTGTGGCTGTAAAAATAAGAGAAAACGAAACCGGATCTTTATATTCAGTAAAAGGACCTTCCTAACAATATGGATGGGGAAATGGTTTTATTTCCTCTTAATTGTGTTTGGATGTACTGCTCTTTAGTTTTTTACAAGCAAAGATTTTGAATTAATATGCAACGGTTAGAGGTTTAGCCAATTGTTTCTAAAGAAGTAATACGTTTATGTGGGGTATTATGTTTTTTAATGCTATGAGAAAATCTGCTTTGGTAACCAAATCAGTGGTTTGTTGATCAAAGCAATCAGGTAGCTATACAGTTACATCTTTCTGATTCATTTTTCTCTTATTTCCATAGGATTTTAAAATGATTCTGCAGAGAGCAGGCCAAATTCAACCATTTAATGGAGATAACATCACATTATAAAGAAATTAAAATTAGGGGAGGGCAGGGGAATAAAAGTCTGCAACTGGTTTTCAGCACCACAGAAGTATTTCCCAAATGACCTAAATGTTGGGTTAATTCTTACTCACTTGTAGAGCTGTGTCCTTTAATTGGAATAAAAATGGTTTTGTGTGCATTCTCTTTTAAATAAACGTGGATTTAATTGAAGCTGAGGGGTGGTTCAGACAATTTTTTTCAAACAATCGTAAATATAGCACGATCTGAAATGGTGCAGCTATAATCTTGTGGATTTAAGAGGTTGTGTGCACAATGCTATGGATGCTCTGCTACGGAGAAGAAGATAGCAGACAGAATGTATGACCTCTTATCTCATATTTTTGATTGGCTGGCAAAAAAAATAGTTCCTTTGATTTGCTGTTCTACTGGTCTCCCCCACGGTCATGGCAGAATGGTGAAGAGAAGAGTTCCACGCCCAGAGGTACCATGCATATTTTCCCTGACAATATCCTTCCTCCAGCCTGCTTGGCATGGGTTCAAAACAGTACAATGGGATGGTTCCTCCATTATAGTCTGTAGAGATTCTCAGTTATCCAGGTCATGGTTGTCCCAAAGGTGCTTTTTCAGGAGACAACTGGACTTTCTTGTTTTTTCTTTTGAAGATGTTTCACTTCTCATCCAAGAAGCTTCTTCAGCTCTGACTGGATGGTGGGGAATGGAAGGATTTATATTTCTTGCAGACAGCGGGTCATAAATCCTTCCATTCCCTACCATCCAGTCAGAGCTGAAGAAGCTCCTTGGATGAGAAGCGAAACATTTTCAAAGAAAAAACAAGAAAATCCATGGGTCCTCCATTATAGATTCTCCCTCCCTTTGATTCTTGAGATTGTCTAAAAGGATGAGAGCCGTTTCATGCACTACAGGCCTAGATGGGATTTTTCCATTGGGGAACCTCCTGTATTTACATTAGGGTTTAAATGTTTTTGCAAATAAATGCTAATTGCATTTACAATGTACACTTTTATGAGAGGACATTTAATGACAAAATGATTCAAACATTTAACACGAGCAATGCCATTATTTTTCTAATATCAAGCTTGCTAATTGGAAGTAAATCCCCTGCAGCCTAGAAATACAGCCTATATAGCCTAGCATACTATGTATGCTTGATATATGAATAGACTTAATGAAGTCATTTTTATGGGTGATATGACTTTGATTTTATATTGCTTTTTAAGTGGGGTGATAGAGAGCTTCCATATAAATAATTCTGTTTTTTAAATCATTTTATTTTTTGCAAATTCAGACTATTATTTCCTAACTTTTATTTTATGCTGTATCTTCATTGCCAAATCCATTCCACGGGGCAGACTGATGTTTCTATGCCAAAAAGAATTTCTTCCTACGCAGAACCAGTTAGATCTAGTAGTTAATGCACCAGGTTAGAAACAAGGAAATTGTGAGTTCTTCTGCTGCCTTATATGTGAAAAGCTGGCTGGATAACTTTGGACCAGCCATTCTCTCAGCCCAATTTACCTCACAGAATTGTTGCTGTGGGGAAAAATAGGAGGAGGAAAATGTATTAGGTTTGCTGTCATAAAAATAATAAAGGTACAATTTTAAAAATCTAAAATTTAAAATAATATATTAATCTTCCTACAAAAGCAAATTGTTTGGTGTGAACTATATGGAATAATAAAAGAGAATGAAAAAAGGTACCCCAACAATATCCTGGAGCAATGAAAGTTCATTGTAGATTTGTTTGTGCTTTGAGTTAGGGGATTTCAGATTCCAAATGTTTTTGCATGAGCGTGTCTAGAAGTCCCAGCCAATATAAGCTGTGAGTGTGTGATGATCATAACTGCATATTAACATCTGAAAAACCATAAACTTCCTATAGCAGGGATGTCAAACTCGCATTGTCACAGCATTGTCACGTGGCTTACTATGACTTTCCCCCCCTTCACTAAACCAGGCATGGGCGTGGCCAGAGGGTGATGCATCCAGCCCGCGAACTGCAAGTTTGGCAGCCCTGCCCTATAGGGTCATATATCTTACAGGTCGTACAAGTCTAGGACAGTGTTTGTCAACCATAGCAATTTAAGATGTCTGGACTCAACTGTCAAAATTCCCAAACCAACATGCTGGCTGGGGAATTCTGGGAGTTGGCAACCACGTGTCTTAAATAAACCCTCTTTTAAGTAACGATACTGAAAGTCACTTGGATGAAATGACATTTCCTTGTGTTTGCATATTGTTGTGTTATGTGTGATATGTACAGTGGAATCTTATACAATCGTTTTCAGTGAGCATATGTATGGTGTTGACTCTGCTCATTTTACATATTTCAGACTAACCACTTCACCTTAAACTAAGAGCTACTTTCTAGACAGCCACAAATATTACAGTCCTTCATCAGTGTTGAAACCTCAACCTCCTTCTTCATCTATCTTATCACCATCAAGACGTGAAAATTATGAGCTGAACTAGCAACTGCGTCTTCCAACTCTTTCCCCCTCTTATTTAAGGCAAATCAATAAGAATTTCATGCAGGACCACCCAGATCTTTAAAATCAGATTACTTTTATTCAGATATAGTGACAGTTATCACAGCTCAGAAGCACCAGAGGCAAAATATTTAAAAAGTACTAATAAAAATTTCAGAATAGAGAACGGCACAGGGTTTTATCATCTTCTGGATTATATTCTGTCCCCCCCACCACCTCATTCTTCCCAACCCATACGGTCTGACAAAGCTTATTTTCTTGCTGCAGCAGCTCCAATAAAGGCATTTCCCCACCAAATAAGTTTTATTTTGGCACACACACAATATCACACAATGTCAAGTAAAATGGCTTTCTTAGAGGGGCATTATGTACAGAGTTAAACTTATTCAGGGGTGCCATGCCTTAGGCTCCTCTCTGAGTTACTGATCACCTTTCTAGCCCTTGTTTAAATCTACTAGTGCAGTGCAATTATCTAATGATTGTCTGCATAAAAACTGAACAATGCCGTTGCACAAAAACAGACAATTTGCAGCCAAAGCTCTTCCTACATGTATTTGCAGCTGTTGAATTTCATCAAGATTTTATCCTCAGAAAATGGTTTTTGGAAAGAGGGTTTTGTTTTGTTTTTAATTCTTGTAATAAGGGAAAAAAAACAATATGGGGCTTATATTAGGTACCTGAATGAAAATCCTGTTTTATTTCAAGATCTTTTGTAAAAAAAACAGTAAGCGTTCAGCACACAGACTAGAAGCTAATCGGAGTTTTCTTGTGCCTCCACTTGCTTCTGATGTCGTATTTCTGACTGAGTTAAAGGTTGATCATGAGTTAGGAACAGCAACATGGACTTTGTGCTTCCCCATGAACTGTTAGCATCTGAAAATTAAATCTTGGAAGGTTCATTGGTTACCAAGCTACATACTTTCTCTCCAAAATGAATATCAAATTGGATTATATTGATATCTGGACAGCAAAATAATGTTTGTAGCCAAGCCCAAAAGCAATGGAGTAATAAAAATGGCAATGTTACAGTTGCTTTTTCTTTGCAGGACAAGCAGTTCCATTTTTTAAAAAAAATAATAATAATAAATGAGTGCTAATGCCATTCTTTTTTGGATCTCTAACTTTTGAGGAGCCTCCCATGGAGTGAATCTCACTGTTTGAGAAGTTAAAACAAGGGTATGATGAAGCGGAGTATATCTACCCTGGCTTGCTCCAAGAAGCATCATGAAGGAACATCCATGGCAGGGAAGAGTGCAGGTGTTTCTTTAAAAAGTTGTTATGACATGACAATTAAACACCTGCATCTTTTTAAAATGTGTGGCATGATTTGCACCAAGACAAATTCCCTGTGATTGGACAAATTCCAATCACACTTGGCCAATAAAGAATTCTATTCTATACATACCTTGAAAGGATTAGGGCTTCGATTGCATCTGCTACCTCTATTGGTTGATCAACCCTCTTCCTTGAAGATACTCCTGTGGCCATGATTTCACTGAATGAGTGATGGCAAAGAAGCATGGATTGGGAATGCATAGCTGAAGGTAAAGGCAAAAATAAGCTAAAATCAGAGACAGTGAAATCGAGCTTGCTGCTTTAAAATAATCAGCTACATTAATGTATTTGGACTGGCAGTTAGGACTTAAAGAAAACTTTCTGATCAGATCATGAAAAAAAAAACCCTACAGAAATCTGGTTTAGATGAAAAATGTGGGCCTCATACACTGATTTGTTTTAGTTAACGTTTTCAGCCCTGTGGTTCTTCGGATTAAGTCACTGTAAGCAGTATTATAAACCACAGGTAAATATGTGTCACAAACCTACATGTGCTGTCTAAGCAGTCTCAAATCTGTACTAAAAGAATTAGAGATTGAGTAAATAAATCCTACAGTTGTTTTTGTCCTTATCAAAACCGTTACATAACTATTTCTATAAGGACAAAGCTACATCTTGCATGTGGTTTTTCTTTCTTTATTATGAAGCTCCTAAAGCTATCACTGAACTTTATGAAGCTTATGAAGCTCCTAAAACTGTTGTTAATCTGTGAAGCTAAAGCTCTGATAGACTATGAGAAGGACATCTTACTACCCTGCTCTGTCTATGATTGCTTTCCTCCTGGGAAAAAGATGGCTACATACTTATTTCTGGCCAAGCAAGCATATATAGATAGACCTCAACTTAGCCTCAACCTCAACTCACCATTCAATTAGCAACCATTCAAAGTTACAACGGCACTGAAAAAGGCGACTTACGACTGGCCCTTACACTTATGACCATTGCAGCATTCCTATGATCACGTGGTCATAATTTGGACCCTTGACAACTGTCATATCTTTATAATGGCTGCAGTGTCCCAGAATCATATGACCACCATATGGAATCTTCTAGCCAGTTTCCAACAAGCAAAGTCAATGGGAAGAGCTGGATTTGCTCCGTTGGCCGTATAAGTCCCTTAACAATTGTAATGATTTGCTTAACAACCATGGCAAAAAGAAAAAAGAAAACCCACAACCAAGTCTGTAAAATTGACACGACTCACTTAACAACTACTTTTTACTTAAACACAGAAATTCTTGTCCCAATTATGTTCCTAGGTCAAGGACTACCTGTAAAATGTTGGAAAGAAAGTGATCGTTTATTATTTATTAAATCTGTATGTGTCCCGTTTCTTTATTAAGTGATTCTGGGTGGATTATAGCACAGTAAAACAACAATATAAAACAGTGACATTGTTAAAGCATTAAAAATAGTAAGTAAAACATTAAATGTTAACAAACAAACAAAACCTAGATAAAAAGGATTTTAAAAATTTCAGTAAGAAAGTTTTCTTTCTGAAATCCTGCCCATTATTTGATTGCCCTGTGAAGACCTATCATTATTTGACTGACAGAAAAGATTACAAAGCAGCCTGTGAAAGAGAAAAATAAAAGCAACCATTTTTGTCTTTTAAGCCTTCCTCTGGTCTGCAGATGATAAACCTACCAAGGTGGTAGCAATGTTTAGCTTCTTCAGTTCCGCTTCTTGGATGAGAAGCGAAACATTTTCAAGGAAAAAGCCAAGAAAGTCCTGTTGCCTTTTAGAAAAGCATCTTTGGTGCAGCCGTGACTTGGATGATTGAGAATCTCCATAGACACTTTCTAGAACTTTCCAGTAAAGGAGATCATGTGAGTGGGTTGTCCAGGTATTCAGCTGAATGCACTAAAGGACATTAGAGATACAGTAGGTACTAGACCTGAAAATCCTTTTAACCTTCCCACTTTTAGGAAAGGAGAAATACTCTCCCATTGATTTGATTATAAGTATAGCTGTATTATTTGATTTGAATACAGCAAACTCGCCTTCCAATTGCCAACTAAATCAATGCAGATAGGGTGAGAAAGCAATTGGGCCACTCTCTCCCTCATAAGCCCTACATACATTCTACTGATAGGCCTTCAGGGCTGCCTATCCCATATGGGAGTTGATATGGTAGAAACAGTGATGGGCTTGGTGAGTGTGGCTTGGATACCATGAAATCTTCATTCCTACTCCAGAGGAAGGATACTGCAAAACCCCATTCCCTCCCCACCCCACTAACCTGCTTTTCAGCTCCATTCTCCTGTGCAGGGCAACAAAAGAAGACCCAGCCAATCAGCTGGGACTTGGAAGGCAGAGAATAGATGGGGGTGGGGCCAGTCAGAGGTGGTATTTTCCGGTTCTCCAAACTACTCAAAATTTCTGCTACCGGTTCTCCAGAACTGGTCAGAACCTGCTGAATACAACCACTGGGTAGAAGCTGCTCTTTCCTTCACTCTAAAAAACATTGCAAACATTTGCAAATGCATGTTCAAGATCGATGGAAAGAATCTGATTTAAAAACAAAAAAAACAATAGGGGAAAAAACCCAAACATTCAAAAATTAAAGTGAGGATTTTGTATGAAACCACTGGGTTCAAATGCTTGCCTAGTTAACTAGACTTTGGTTGAAATGGGTCTTATTTTCCTAAACTTTGCAGATATTTATCAACTATAGGAGGGAGTCAATAACTACACTTTGCCACTTTCTTCATGGATAAGATAGAAAAACCTCAAAATTAAATTGTCATTCGAGACAATGATGAATCTGCATACAGACTGGAGGTTGTACAACTTGCCTCGTGGTGTAACTGGAACAATCTGGAGCTGAACACATTCAAACCATAGAAATGGTGGTAGACTGTAGGAGAAACCCTCCCATACTACCACCTCTTACAATATTAGACAACACAGTATCAACAATAGAGACCTTCAAATTTCTAGGTTCCATTATATCACATGACCTAAAATGGACACCTAACATCAAAAACGTCATCAAAAAAGCACAACAAATCATATTCACGGAATCATTCTAATTTTAAAATGAAAAGCATTCATGCTCTTGTCACTAATAAACTAAATATTGATCTAGCTCCACCTTAAGAGTATATGGTTTCTGACTGAAAGATTTCTAAAACCCTATTTTGTACAAGTATACCATTTGTTGTAGGTTGTGTTAATTGTGCGCCAACTCAGAAAGCTCAAACTGCCCAAGGAGCTGCTGATACAGTTCTACAAAGGAATTATTGGCACTGTCATCTGCACCTCTATAACTGTCTGGTTTGGTTCTGCAACCCAACAGGACAGACACAGACTTCAGAGGATAATTAGGACTGCAGAAAAAACAATTACTACCAACCTGCTTTCAGTGGAGGACCTGGATACTGCAAGAGTCAAAAAGGGGGTTGTGAAAATATTTACAGACCCCTCACATCCTGGACATAAACTGTTTCAACTCCTTCCTCAAAAAAACACTATAGAGCACTGCACACCAGAACAACTAGACACAAGGACAATTTTTTTCCCAAACGCCATCACTCTGCTAAACAAATAATTCCCTCAACATTGTCCAACTATTTACAAAGTCTGCACTACTATTACTATTGATCTTCTCATCACTCCTTATTACCCATCCCCTCCCATTTATGACTATATGACTGTAACTTCGTTGCTTGTACCCTTACAATTTATATGGACTGTTTCCTAGTGTTGAAAGGTGTCAAAATGCCTTTCTTTCGAGGATTCGATTTTCCCGCTGGGAGAGCTCCGGCACAAGGATACGGACAACTGCTTGAAAGCTGGATCTTTTTATTTTTCAGGAAGGCGGAGAACAGCGAGAAGTCTGCGTTCCTGGGCTAGCTAGCTTCTTATGGTAAGTCCCTGGTTTTTTATACCCTTTTTTCCCTTTGTAAGTTGATTTTGTGTGAGTGTTTGTATTTGTGCCTAATGTTTCAAATCCTGTTTGAGTTTGTCTTTATTTCCGCCAGAGGGCAAACTCCTGGGGTGGCCAGATTGTATTATTGGTTTTCTGTAATCTCTTTTAGCTTTAAGATAGTTTTTCATATTTATTCTGTGGCAATTTCCTGTCTGTCCCTTTTGTTATTTATATTTTGTGTTTGTTTTGCTTATTTGGTGTATCCTGTGTTTGTAAGGGTTTTCTAAATTATCTTTTGTTTCCTTTTCCTATCTGTCTAGTTTTCTTAATTACTTAGGCTTTTGTCTATAGGGATTCTTTAACACTTTTTATTTTATTCCTTTTCCTATGTAAGTTTGTTTTCTGGCTGACCTGATGTTCCCCTTGGGCTTTTCCTGTTTTTTGTGACACTACTGCCTTCGTGAAAGTCCCTTTCCACACCAGTATGATTTGATTGCTTATTGTACCCTATGACTATTATTAAGTGTTGTCCTTATGATTCTTGACTCTTGATGAATGTATCTTTTCTTTTATATACACTGAAGCATATACACCAAAGACAAATTCCTTGTGTGTCCAATCACACTTGGCCAATAAAAGAATTCTAATTCTAAACGAGAGAGAGGAAGACAAGGAGGGAGGGAGGAAGAGGGGGGATGAGGGAGGGAGAGAATGGATGAGGAAAAGAAGTTAATAGATTTGCTGAACTGATAGTTGTAAATCTTAGTTCCATCTCAATGGGATGTTCAAGATGGGGACTTCAATCAAGAGAAGTTGAATTAAGAAAACAAACACTTTTCATAGTACTTAAGACTATACAGACCATAGTAGTATCCTTTGATCTTAGTTCACTCCTCCACAAGCACTTTTCGGGGGAGGTTTCCTGTTTCACCCCATGCCTATTTGTATGTTTTTACTTCCCGTTGCCTGTGGTTACTTTATTGATGAGTGCACTCTAGAAGGAGTTATAAACTCACAATGCAATCTGATCTTCCTCAGATTTAGTTTCTCTTCTCCTCCTGCAAGGTAGAAAGAATGTGAACTTGAGAAGATGGCAAAGCCAAATCTGATTGTGTACACCTACTTTTTTATCTTCCTTCCTTTTACTTCTTCAGAAAGTGGCTCTGGGTTGGAAACATCTATAGGATATGGTAAGTCACTCCAACTTTTTCCTTCTCACAAAAATCCAAACAATGGAAGTGAAACTTTCCAAATATGTAGTTCAAAGAATCTTGAATCTTGTTATCATTATGTATTTTGAAAGACAAATATCATACCACTTTGATGTACTCATTGATTGTATACTTTTATTTTTAGTTTAGTTTACAATGAGTGTGTATAGATACAACAAACTGCTGCACAATTATCAGATATAGGCACTGGTGTTCTAACACTCACCAATATTTATTAGAAATGTAGCACGGAGTTAGTTTTTCTTTCAGAGTATAAAGCTGGCACTTGTTTTCCTGGATTTTGCCAACAAAAAGTAAGGTAAGTTTAGATTTTATTATTGTTATTTTATAAATGAGCATTCTTTAAAAGGTTCAAGCCACCAGTTGAAAAATGCTGCTAAATAAAATCTGAATTCTAGTATGCAGCAAGAACCAGAATTTTTCAGTATTCAGTTGTGTGTCATATTATTTCAGACTCTTAATAATCTTATTAAAATTGTCAGGTACAATGGGTAGAAGAAGCAACAAGCACTTTGTCTTTAATTAGGGATGTGTATTTAATCTGAGTGCTTTAAAGTTTATTTTTCTTGGGCTAGGATAAGAAACTTACTTTGAAAAATTCAAAAATATGTATCTCTCTGCAATGGGGACACTCACCAAATGTTTATAACTTCATACACAATTAATGAAATATGCAGGTACAAGAATCCTTTTTGTATACAGGATTCTGGATTAATTTCAGACAAGGCACTCTACAAAGGATTTTATGTAAAGGCAAGTTGCAAGCTAGACATTTATGTTCCCTTTTCTGAAAATCCCCCTATACGAGGTTATATTTAGCATATGCTACATGATAATTAGACAGAATGCCCAGTTCTTAAAGCCAAAAGAAATACATTTAATTAATAAAGCAGACAATGAGTAACTAAAAATGCCCCATCTCTTTCTCCTCTCCCGCTTCCTCCTTCACCTCTTTGGCAGTTAACAAAGTAATAAGAACAGAAATCAAGCTGAAGGTTTATTTGTAAAATTGATCCTCTGTTTCTGGATATTAGTAATAAGAAGCACTATTTTATAGTGGCTGTCCTCATGTGGGACAGGTTCTAATGGAGATATGGGAGGAGAGGTCAAGTTCTAAGGCCTCTGTTGTGGGGTGAACTCTCAACTCAATTCTCTTTCCTATTTAATATCCAATGAATGGTGGGGGGGGGGTCATCCATTGACTTGGGTCATATTTCATCAATTGTGCTAATGATATACGTTTGTATATTGCCCCAGGCCAGGTGCTGTTCAAGTGCCTGAAGCCTGCTAGGTTTTGGATGGGGAGAAATAAACTCAGGCTTAATCACAGCAAGTCCAAGTGGTTTTGGGTTTATAGACTATTTGAGACTAGGAAACTCCATCTTTGGTTCTAGATGGTATTACACCCCCCCTCATTTGGAACTGGTAATCTGGGGGGTTCTTTTGAACACATGGCTCCTGTTTAAACAGGATCTGGTAGCTGTGTCCAAGAGGAGCTTTGTACAAGTTCATCTCATGTACCAGTTATGACTGCCTTGCATTCTCCATGGTCATTCATGTCTGGGTCACATCCCAGACGTGTTACTATGATGTATCTTCATGGGAATCTGGATGATGCAGCTGCCCCAGAATGCAGCAGTTGAATAGCTATGCACACTCTGTTTTGCCCATGTAACACTAGGACAAAATCAGTGAGAATTGAGCTGCTTGTCAATGGGCTTCCAGGTGTGATTTAAGGTACTGGTTGTCGTCTTTAAAGTCTTGTGTAACTTAGCTGAATGTCTCTGCAGAACTCTATGCTCTCAGTAATGTGGGACCACTAGAGTATGATTCCTATTCTAAGAGAATGTTATCATCAGGTGCTCTACAAGTAGGCCTTTTTCCCTCCATCCCCATCCTGAAAGAATATTTTTTCTTAAAATTACTTCAGTTCTAACCTTTAGAGTTTATGAAATTCTGGTTGTTCCAGAAAACCTTTGGTGATTATAAACTTTTGTTGTTATGGATTGTTTTAACCCTTGTTATAATGGTTGGTTTTCTTAATGCACTGAATCTCAAACTTAGCCAACCCTTTTAAAATAGGCTTTTTCTTAGTGGTAGTGGTGAGTTGTATGTATCCATCTACCTGGTCTATACACACAATTGTTTTGGAAAGAATGTGGCTGCATTTCTCATGGAAAGTCTGGTGGCCTGGGTTGCTCTGTGGGTTTATAGGAGCATAATATCCAGAAAAAAACCCTAGATTCTTTATTATTGCTAGTAAGATGCACTTTTATTTAGAGGATGTCATCTGTTTATCCCAATCATCTATGGGATAAACAATGCATCAGACATGTATCAAAGAGCAAGCATTGGTGATCTTTACGCTAAGGTAAGCTCATAATGGACCGAGCAGACTGAGAAACTAGCATTCACAGAAGAAATAGAATTTTTCCATTTTCCAAATGATATTGCAAATTCACGCTGCGTTTTAAAATGCGAATTTGTTGGCATCGCAAATGCTCTTCAGAAAAGGATTAAAAATACCCTCTGCTCTCAGTACTTTCAATATGGATTTATTCATTTACTGTAAGAAAAAAAATTGCTATTATAATTTAGTTCCAAAATTATTCTATTATATACAGCAAAGTTATGAGTGAAAAATTAATTGAACAAAGTTTGATGAAAATTCCCATTTGATGTTGAGATATTCTCACAAAATCTGCTTCATATAGTATATGCAAACTATTTCCTACCATATCCTTTACATTTTCAAAATTGCATGGTGACCACTGCAACTTACAGCTTGAAAAGTTTTATTTCTAGGGAATATACAGATGAAATAAGAAGGGCAATTACCATGAGTCATAAGAAAAGATGAGCTGCTCAAAAGTTTTCTTGGTAGTCTAAATTCTTAGATCTAGAGAAGAATCTGTTGACACTTTTCTTTAAATACCTTATTAATCAAGGAGCAATTGCTTTTTCATATATATGTGTGTGTACATTTCTCTTTAGTAAGACAAAAGGGAAGCCTACAGCTCATTTTGCAAATAGAAGTTAAAAATTAAAATTAAAAATTAAAAGCATCCAATGCATTGAGAAAAGAAAAATTATTGAATTAATTAATTAACACAAAGTCAATTCAATGGAGAAAGCTTATAAGAAAAGCAAGTTTTACAGGATACTAAAAAAACAACAAAAAGAATGAACAGTTGGTTTCTTGAAAGGGAATTTCAAATGCAACCACACACATTCAAAAAACTTGTTTTCTGTATCCCTTCAAGAGAGACCTATCATTTGAACTTTCTTTTTACTTCATCAATATCAGAGGAAGCATTCTTGAGATCTTAGTGGTAAGTCACATAATGTCCTAAAGAAAAGAGCATTTTGAACTGGGTTGGGAGTTGAAACATCTGTTGTGATGGGGAATTATCCTTCTTTTAAATTTGGATCCAGTCAAAACCTACAGACTGCTTTCTGTTCCTGAATCCTTTTCACAGGCAATTCTTACCATAGTATAATAATTAGAGGAAGAAATGGAGGGAAACAATTCAGTTTCATTTTCAGGAATGAAAGAAATGGTATAATTACTTTGTTTGATAAGTGCTTTAAATCTTGAAATTTGAGAAATATTTTGTGATTCTTTCCCCTTAGGTACTTGTGCAGATGATGAGCAAGAGAACAGCTTTAAGTGTTTCACTCAAATGCCAGTAGTCCTAAGCAATTTCTTAATTTGTGAAGCTACTGGGACAGAGATGAACCTGAATGAGACAAATGTCAGTTTTTCTGTGTAAGAACTTTTCTAATGTATTCAAACATCATTACTTGGGTGCTAGAAGATTAATACAATGAAAAAAATTGACTGCAGAATTTGGGGGATGCGATTTTGGGCGGTGTTCTGGAGCTACACAGATTGGTTGGGAAATACTTATTTGGCCTGTGGGTGAATGCTTAACTAATTTTAACTTAACCTGTCTTTAGAGTCTAGTAAAACTTACAGATTACTTCTCAGAAGAATGTATTTAAATGCATAAAAGAAAATACATAGGTACAGAAAAGACATCATGAAGATCAAACAATGAATTCTAGAATGCTTTGAATGGATTTTTAAACACAAAAGCTCTTTTGAAATGCAAGCTCTGTTGACTATGATCAATTACATGTGTTTGGTGAAAACAATGCACATAACCAAATGTATCCTGGTTTTGATTTTTCAATGTATACTAATTTTTCTGAATGGTTTTGGAATGTAGAGTTCATAAATTAACTGGTTGCTTGCATTCATTATTGAATGAAAAGCTAAATTTCAGTTAGAGGTTAGTGAAAATAAAAGTTGTAATCTTCTTTTACATCCAGATTCATGGACCTTCTGAAATCTATCCACAGGTTCCCTTGGTTGCAGATTAAGAACCCCTGATTTACACCATAAATCCTGAGATCATAATATATCTGCAACTTTCTTAGCCTCATGCTAGAAATAAAAAGGGTAGATTTTGAGGTACTTTAGCAAAGGATGTTAAAGTTACTGAGAAACTACAAGAAAGTTTTATATAGCATAAAGTTGCTATTATTAAGTTGGCCCTTGCTTTTATCTTAACTAGCTGATTAAGCACATTATTTTTCTTGGCTTTCTGGGACTATAAAGTTTTGTAAAGAAAAAGCAACTTTGCCATAAAAATGAATGAATGTTAAAAATAAGAAAGAAAAGATTTCTTAATGCTAATAATCCAAGAATACTCTTATTAACTGGTTGTTCTTTAGGGGTAAAGTGGAGGGATGGCATATATAAACAACACAACTCAAAGCATTTCTATGTTAACTACAGATATATAACATGACTTTATTTGTAGAACACCTGACCACACTGAAATGTAGAAGGCAAGAATTGATTCACCAGATGTAATAATTGGTCACAAGACAATTGGGGAAATTCAAAGACATTAAAAGAATCATTTTGTCATCAAGAGTACTTAATGTCCAGCTAGTTTGGAATACAGTGTATCAGGAAAAGTGTAGGACAGCTGTTGTATCTGGATAGCTTAAGATTGTGTATTGTTGTGTAAACATAAATTAACTCAATATAGCAATAGCAATAGCACTTAGACTGCTTCATAGTGCTTTACAGCCCTCTCTAAGTGTTTTTCAGAGTCAGGATATTGCCCCCAACAATTTGGGTTCTCATTTTACCAACCTCGGAAGGATGGAAGGCTGAGTCAACCTTGAGCCTGGTGAGATTTGAATTGCCAAATTGCAGTCAGCCGGCAATCAGCAGAAGTAGCCTGTCTAACCACTGCACTACCGAGGCTCAGTAACATTTTTTGTACTTGTCTACTGAACTATAAAATTAATTTCCTGCCCAAAATCTTCACATGGTCTCTCAATTACATGACCAAAACAATGACAATGCTTTCTCTGAAGCTTGCAATGAATACAGTTTCCTCACCATGAGACTCTATAGCAGCTTTCAAACTACAGTGTAAGTTCTAATGAACTGACTAGCCCTCGGAAGGTCTATTTTATCCTGCTTTTCAATTCTTTCCAGAACCACTTTGTGTAGACAGGTTTTCCAAAGTTTCATTGCTCCATCCTATTTTGTCACAGGTATGGGACTCAACCCCGGTCCTGCTTCATGAAAAATCCTCTTGTCAGCAATTGTTCTATATACAGCAGCGATCTTATTGATGTTTTGGACGTTTGCTTGACAATAACTTTGATCAATCCTTGCAAAAATTGCCAGAAATTGAACGCTGTTCATATTGGTAAGCAAATGTATAGTGTGGGGATTCATTTTTGAACCTGTTCAAAACTGGAGGGACATGAAGTTTAGTTATATCAAGACAGAGTCCAAAGGCTCATGGCCAATTTTCTTCTTCCATTTCCAAATTTGGAAGAAAAAGATGGGAATTCTCCGGCCATGAGAATGTTATGGTGTTGCTCCAAATCATGGAAAGGATCTGCTTTGTAGAATTGCTTGTACAAAACAATTGTCCTCTAGATTAATTTTGTTCAACATCAGCAACTTTACAATTTTTGGACTTCAACTCCCAGAATTGTATGCTGACTGAGGAAATCTGGGAATTGAAGTTCTCAGATCTTAAAGTTACTGAGGTTGAGAAACGCTGTTCTAAATACACAGAAGCAAAATAAGTATAATACATCGTTTCCTTAACTACTTAGAGTTGTATATTAACCAATGAATTAACACTGAAGTGATGATTCCATGCCCCAAAATAAATGATTAATTTATGAACGTGATTGTATGCATAACTACTCAGACGGAAGCTTCGTTGTTTAATCAGGCTTTCCGGTATCATGTTCATATCACTGCTGCTTTAATATATTGTAGCTTACAAGCATGAAAACAGACATTCTAGTACAGGGCTGTCAAACTCCTGGCCCACGCCCAGTTTAGCGAAGCAGGGGAAAGTCCCAATACATCACATGAAGCTGCCGTGACGATCAGAGTTTGACACTCCCGTTCTAGTATGTGGTGGAAATAATTTCTTGTAATAATTGTTGGTTTTACTTGGATTCCGAGTCTAGAGGTGATGAAGTTTGAGTAAAGGAGAAGTCAAAATACCCAAGCTCAAATAAGTCACCTGCATTTATGTACAGGTAGTTCTTGATTTATGATCCAATTGGGACAAGAATGTCCATTCCTAAGCAAGGCAGTTGCGAAATGAGAGGTCTGAATTTATCACTTGTCTCACCATAGTTAAATGAATCCCCGTAATTGTTAAATGAATCGCGTGGCCTTTAAGCAATTTTGGCTTCCCACGTTAATTTTGCTTGTCAGAAGCTCCCTGAAAAGGTAGCAAATGACAATCACATGACAGCACAACCATTGTAAATACCTACCAGTTGCCAAGTGCCTGAATTTTGATCACATGACTGTGAGGATGCTGCAACAGACATAAGAGTGTGGACCAGTCATAAGTCTCTTTTTTCCAATATTGTAACTTCAAATAGTCATTCAACGGACGATTCTTAGTCAAGGACTATCAATTAATGAGAATAGAGCTAGAAGAGGCCTTGGAGATCTTCTAGTCTTCTAGTCTTTGGTAATCTTCTAGACCAGAGGTCCTCAAACTTGGCAACTTTAAGACTTGTGGATCTGGGTTCACAAGTTGCTTAAACAGCAGAGGTTTAAGAATTGTGTATGCAGAGTGTGATTTTGTGTGTGTGTATGTGTTGTTAATCTTTAAATTGTCCTTTGCAGTTAAACCTGAAGCACCTTTTGGTCTAAATATCACCTACCAGGAAAAAGCAAATGAGTACCTTGTTCAATTCTCAACAACACACGTAGCAAACTCATTCCTTAAAGACAAATTGATACATCAGTTAGCCTACCGACAAGAAAATACAAACTGGACTGTGAGTAAGAATAAATAGGTTTGCATTTTCTACCTATTTTCAGTTGTATGCCTGCAAGCAAGGGCTGTTTGTTGTAGTAGGATGCCATGCAAACTATGTTCTGAGTGGTTGGGTTATTTTTTCTTTAGCCTGTGCCTAGATTTAAAAAGTATAGAGTGAATAAAAAGCTGATAGCTGCTTTTAACTTCTAACGGGGAGTCCGGGCTAGGTTTTTATTTTCAAAAGCCAACGGAAATCAATATTTGAATGATGCTCTTTCTATAAATATATTTAAAAAAACCCATATCCTCCTAATAATCAATAGGTATCCTGGCCTATCTGACACTGCTTATCTCCATTGGCTGCTTAAAGATGAACAGACTGTGATTACAGTGTAGGTGGCTAGATTCTGCATAGCAGCACTAGGGATTCATCAGGAACACGTGTTTAATTCACCATAGCTATTTTACATAACTAATGTAGCAAACCCTTTTGGATTACTACGCTTTTGCATTTTAGTATTTAATGACTACATGCCTCAAAGTTTAAGGATTGATACGGGCCTGCCAGTTTAAGGATTGTATAGGAGGTAGTGACAGATTTTATTTTCCTGGGCTCCAAGTTCACTGCAAATGGGGACTGCATCCAATAAATTAAAAGACGCTTGCTCCTGGGGAGGAAAGCTATGGCAAATCTAGACAGCATACTAAAAAGAAGAGACATCACCCTGCCAACAAAAGTGTGTATAGTCAAGGCTATGGTTTTCCCAGTTGCAATATAAGGCTGTAAAAGTTGGACCATAAGGAAGACTGAGCGCCAAAGAATTGAGACCTTTGAACTATGGTACTGGAGAAGACTCCTGTGAGTCCCTTGGACTGCAAGGTGATGAAACCGGTCAGTCCTAGAGGAGATCAACCCTGACTGCTCTTTAGAAGGCCAGATCCTGAAGATGAAACTCAAATACTTTGACCACCTAATGAGAAGGAAGGACTCACTGGAGAAGAGCCTAATGCTGGGAAAGATTGAGGTCAATAGAAGAAAGGGATGGCAGATAATGGGGTGGCTGGATGGAGTCATTGAAGCAGTAGGCATGAGCTTAAATGGACTCCAGAAGATGGTAGAGGACAGGAAGGCCTGGAGGAACGTTGTCCATAGGGTCGCGATGGGTCAGACACAACTTCGCAACTAACAACAACGATAGTATAGTTAGGCCGTGCATAACTGACAGATTGGTTGCCAAATTGTGATTTTAATATAGATTTTATCTGTTATTTATTATTTTATTCTAAAATTTTTAACTGGATATTCTTTTAGTATTTTATTTGTTCTGGTCTCCAGTCTTTGACTGTAATAAACTTGATTTGATTTGATTTGAATGTTACCACTTGTTAATATAAATCTTCAAAGATATTCCTTGTTTAGATTAGAAATTCCCCCTGCTGCTATATCCGATTTCACCCCTAGTAGTTCGTGAAGAAAATAACTAGCTGGGAACATGGAAAACTTAACGAGAAGCATTATATTTTTTGAGGAAATGTTTTCCCCTCCAAAAAATGTTTCTGTTAGTCTCTTGTAAGATTGATTACAACCAAAGAGATTTGTAAATCAGTTTACCAATGTTGTTCGGACAATGCTTTTGATCTGACCCAAACATTCTGGTTTAGCATCTGCTTAGCTTAAATTCTGCCTCTAGAACACTCAATTTCATTGAGGGCGCATCAGGGTTGTGTTTGACCTTGGGGGCCAGAGTGGGTGTGGCAGGAGTGTGTGGCCAGCTCAATATCACTTGTGTCAGGGGCGTCTGTGGTGGCCCAAGCCCTCTGCCAGTGAATATGGGCTCCTGGGCTCCTTTTTTGGCTGCAATGGCCTTGTGATGACCTGGGGCATGGCACAAAGGCAACACAGTCAGATTATCAGTAGGAGTCCTTTTATTAGCTCCAACTTCACCCTCAATGTCCTGGCTACCTTCTGGGCTAGAGAAAAACTCTCCCAGGAACAGCCTTTGGCTGCAAAGAATCAAGTCCAAAATGTGGCCATCAAAAACTGTAACTGGAAGTCCAATCAAGGCAAGATGAGGTAATTAGTCTGGCAGGGCAAGAGAAGGAATTCCAGACGTGAAGGAACAGCAGTAATTCAATATAGCTGGGAGGATGCCAGGAACACAGATAGCCAAAATCAACACAAGATAAACCCACATTTGTTCCCACCAGATGCTGCACTCAGCTTGCACCTCTTTACAACTCTCATTCCCAGTTGTGGCTAATGAAGGGAATCAGGGTCCTTTCCTCCCCTGTAAGCCACGCGACCCACATTGCTCTCTTCTCCATTCCTCCCTGCGTGCCCTAGGATGAATAGGGAGGGCCTGGGTCTTCCTTTGAACTCCCTCTGCCCTGCTCTGCCCTGCTCTGCCCAGCTGGACTTTGCCCTTTCCCAGTTTCTTCCACAGCCAATGGAGCCACACTCCCACTTCCTGTGAGCTGCATGTCTTCCTCCTGGGATTCAGACTCCGACAGGGGAATGACAGGCCTCCTGCAACCCTCTGCCTGTGAAAATGGGCATGCAATCCCTCCCACAAGCAGCCCTCCTGAGATCAGTTTTTGCTGGCAGATGCACCGTGCGCCAGTCCGTCACTGTTTCCAAGGTGGCCCCATGGGCCAGATCCAAGCACCCTGCAGGCCAGAGTTTGGCACCCCTACTCTAGCAGGATATGGTACTAGGGTAACTAATGCAGGTGCAGTCTCATTTCCGCTAATAGATTTCCTTCTGTTTTGAATCCAAGACTTTAGTTGGCCTATTATGACCACAGAGTGTGAATGTCTTACATTGTCCCAGTCCCAGATGCATTTCACTAACGTTTGTACAGGTACTCCCTGACTTAGGACTACAATTGAGCCCAAAATTAAATGAGGCATTTGTTAAGTGAGTTTTGCCCCATTTTACGACCTTTCTTGCCACAGTTATTAAGTGAATCATTGCAGTTCTTAGTAAGTGAATCTGGATTCCCCATTGACTCTGCTTGTCTGAAAGTTACAAAAGCAGAGGGAACTGCTTTTGTCACATCAGACTTATTCACAATAGTCCTTGACTCATGACCAATCCCTGTCATGCCCTGTCATGCCCTTGGTAGAGTCAGACTCTGAGGGAGAGGAGGAACAGCCAACAGGGAGTGGAGGTGTGGCTCTGGAGGTTGTGGAGGAGGCTGGGGAAGGGCAGAGGCCAGCTGGGCAGTCAGAGGAAGAACCAGGCTGCCTCCTAGGACACACGGGGGTGGGGGTGGGGAATGGGGAAGACAACAACTTGGCTTACGAGAGAGGAAGTGGCCATGATCCTCCTCATTGGTTGCAGCTAGGGAGACTAGTATATAAGAGAGACGATTACAACACAGCATTGCCAGAAGAAAAGCATGTGTTATTTTGGACTGAAGTTATCTTGGTTGGCGTCCTTCCAACAGACTGTGCCTTGTTATCTCCTTGAATTTGGTAATTACTTATCCTGGTCCATTGTGGAAATTTCATCGTTGTAGTTTGTTTAGTTTTTTATTTCACCTCTATCTGCTCATTAAGTTTGGACTGTATGGTTTTCTTTTGATGACTATTTTTGAGTACGTTTTATCTCCAACTGAGAATTATTGAACAGTGAGGCCAAGTTGGAGGCATTAAAGGACATTTATTTACGTTTTGGATTTTGTTACATTTGTGTTACACTCTGGGTCATCACAATCCCTTTAAAGTTATGATGCAGCTTCCCAAAGTACTTGTGACTTGATTTCAAAGGACCGGTCTCTATAACTTGTCCCGCTGTCATGTGATGATATTTTGGGAATCAGCTCACTTTTAACAGTCATTTGCAGCAACCTGTGGTCACGTGACCATGGCTTTCATCATTTTTTCCCCTGGTTTCAAGCATTTCTTCCTGCTTTCTAGCAAAAAATAGCCCATTGGACAAAATGGATTCATTGAATGACTGCCACATTCGCTTAATAGTTACTGAAATTTTTTGGGTAAAATGAAGGGGGGGGGCAGAGGCCACCTGCATAATGACTGCAATGACCATTATTGTCCCTTAATTCTAGACTCCATTACTATTGTAACTCACAGTTTACTTGTATTGGCTCTCTGAGTCACTGAGAATGAGTGAGCAACCATATGAATTCTCATAAACAAACAAGCAAGCAGGCAGGCAAGCGAACAATATTGATGTCAACTCAAAAATATTTCTCTGGTTTTTTAGAGTTGTCAGTAAAACGGGAGTGAGAGGAAGAAATGCATACCTCAAATATTTTAATAGATAATTGCTAGGCGGCCGAAGCTTCGGGCACGCAAGATTATTACTGAAGAGCATGGTTGATCACTTTTGGCTATGGATGTGTCCCATTGGAGAATATACATCTGGGGAGTCGGGGAAGACCAGAGATGAATAATGTGACTCAGTGTCGGCTGCATGCAGATAACGCCGACATGTTCATTCCTAATAAATGATTTTTTTAAAACTCTGAGAGATGCGCCTAGGCCTAGCAATTATCTATGAAAATATTTGAGGTATGCATTGCTCCCCCCACTGCCTTTCTGCTGACAACTCAGAGAAATACTTTTGAGTTGACATTTGACTTTTCTTGGCTCTTCAGAATTTCATTTGGATATTCTTCCCAGCATTGTCCACATTAGCTAGAGACCGAACCATCTTTTAAATGGATGTATGTGGTCTGTCATTGGGCTGCAACATTTTGTTGGAGAGCAGACTATGAACAATGGAATAAAATAAAGAAGTGACGTCCATACTTCTTCACTTGTGGTATATGAATGCAGCCAAACATTTGGATCCTTTTCTGATCATGCACCAGTCAGATCATTTTCTATGAACAAGTTGGTATGTTTTCTTGATGTAAAATAATCTACTGTATTTTGGATGCCAGTATAGGATGTTGTCACATTCCCAGCAGAGTTTGAAGAACACATTCAGGTAAACATGATTTCACTGTGTAGAAATAAATGAATGTTGTTACAGGGAGCTAAGAGTTTTTGTTTAACTTAAAATGAAATTCTCAAATTTATTCCTGTCTTAGACCATCGAATCTAATTTCCTTAGATTCAAACTTCTGGGGAAGAAATTCGAGCCAGAAGTCACATATGAGATGAAGGTTCGGTCAAGGCCCAACGGACATTATTTCAAAGGTCATTGGAGTGACTGGAGCTCATCCCAATATTTCAAACCTTCAGCCAGAACATCAAGCGGAATAAGTGAGCCCAGATTTTTAATTTAATAAGAGTTAAATACAAAATTGGAATAAAAATCCAGTAAATAGTTGAATTTGGATAAATTCCCAGAATCCTGACTGAGAAAAAATTATATATCATATGGTATAAGCCATCATGGGTCCAATTAAATGTTTCTAATATTTGGTGGTTAGCCCTGAAACACTGGTAGGTCAATCAGACATTGGTGTCCTCCAGGAATGGAGGGGAGCGGGAGTCAATCAAAAGGCAGAAGTAGTCCTCACTGGAAACTTGTCCAGGCAGTCTCTGAGAATCAGATGCAATTGAATGGAAGAAAAACAATACAGGTAATCCTCCACTTACAATAGATTGCTTAGTTTGAAGTTACAACTCTACTGAAAAAGTAGTGGGATTCAAAAATCCCAGCAACCGGTTCGCTGCCCAGTTGCTGGGTGGGCGTGGCCATGGTGGAAGCCAGAAACAGGCCCATTTCACCACTTCCAGTACTTCCGGTTTGGCTGTTTTTCACCTTCCCAAGGGTCTGGAGGCCTTCCCCGGGTGTCTGGGAGGGTGAAAATGGCCTCCCCTGGGCCCCAGAGGCCCTCTGGAAGCCGGAATATTTTACGAATTCTGGTACTTCCAGTTTGGCCAGTTTTCACCTTCCCAAGGACCCAGAGGCTTCCCTCAGGCCTCTGGGAGGGTGAAAATGGCCTCCCTGGGCAATGGAGGCCCTTCAGAAGCCAGAAACAGGCCAGTTTCCGGATTTCCGGAAGGCCCATTTTTCACCCTCCCAGAGTCTCCACATGGACCCTGCACTTAACCTTCATCAAAAATGGGCCACCTGGAGGCTCCTGGGAGGGCTGGAGCAGGGTGGAGTAGGGTGGGTGGAGCCAGCCGGTTGGTTCAAATACCGGTTCAGTGAACCAGATGCAAATTTAACATCCGGTTCTCTTGAACCAGTCCGAACCGGTAGAATTCCATCCCTGCTTATGTCCATTTTTCACACTTAGGACCATTGCAACATCCCCATGGTCATGTGATTTACATTTAGATGCTTGACAACTGACTCACACTTAACAACTGTGTTACTAACTTAACAAATGCAGTGATTCACTTAACAACTGTGGCAAGAAAAGTCATAAAAATGGGGCAAAACTCACTTAACAACATAAAGTTTGGGCTCATAAGTGATCGTAAGTTGAGGACTATCTGTATTTTCATTAGAGCCAAAAATTACATCAACAAAGCTTTCTGAATATAACATGCTATTATTATAACAACTGCCAATACCAGTTAATAATTGACCAATAGTAACTGATGTACCATGATGTACCAGGCCCTACCGATCAGATTTGATGTTAAATTATTAACATTTCTTTTATCATGTATTTTTCAAAGACTCAAAATAGCTGTGGGAAAGAATTTTTGGCAAGAAAACCACCTTGCCTCATTTCCAGATCCCTCCTCCCTTAGAGCTGTTTTGTCAAAGTATACTTCATGGAGGAAAGCATACTGTAACAGAGTAATTGTACAACATTGATAATTTAGGATTTGTTTTCAGTACATATAAAGAAACAGAAGAGAAGCAGGATGCTTAGTTCTAGGTCAAGGATGCCAAACTCGGTTTCATTAAGGGCCACATCAGGTTATGTTTGACCTCGGGGGGCTGGGGGGGGAGCGTGACCAGGGTGGGCATGGCCAGCTCAACATCACTCATTGAGGCTCCATTTTCGGCCATGATGGTCTCCTGCAGCCCTCTGCCAGTGAAAACGGACCCCTCCCGAGCTCCATTTTCACTGCCAGAGGGCTGCAGGAGGCCATCGTAGCCAAAAATGGAGCCCGGAGGCCCATGCATGACCCTCCCAAACTCCATTTTCACTGGTAGAAGCACTGCGGGCCGGTCCTTCGCTATTTCCAGGGTAGGCCTATGGGCCAGATCTAAGCATCCTGTGGGCCAGATCCAGCCCTCAGGCCTTGAGTTTGACACCCCTGTTCTAGGTGAATTGGAAGAAAAGCAAACAAGAATTAGGGGCCAGAGGTATCACCACAAAATCAGAAGAACATCATGAGACCACGAAATCCAAGAGTCCTTGATAATTAGAATGATTGGAGGTTGGCCATCACCAGCTTCTGCTGCAGGAACTTTGGTGGAAGCAAAGCCACCAACTTAATTCATTCTATTGCTGAATTACTCAGTCAAGAATGTTCATGCAGTGTTGAATTAAAATTTACTGTCTGGTTGATTAAACCTAATCTTTCCTTCTACAGCAGTGTCGGACAAAACTTTGTTCCTCTTCTATACAATGCCTTTTAAGCATTTAGAAGACTGCAAGAATTGTCTTTGCAGTGTTCTTTCCTTAAGCATATACTTCCAACATTTTTTTGCTAGGATTTGTTGGATTATGGGTGAGCAATTATGGGATTTGTTGGCTTATCAGGGACAAACATAAAATTTTGCATTGTTACAATGAGACCTGGAGCAGAGGTGGTATTCATCAGGTTCTGACCAGTTCTGGAGAACCGGTAGCAGAAAGTTTGAGTAGTTCGGAGAACTGGCAAATACCACCTCTGACTGGAGATTTTATAGTATCCTTCCCCTGCCATGCCCACCAAGCCACGCCCACATAACTGATGGTAAAAAATTTGAATCCCACCACTAACCTGGAGTCATAATTGGTGTGTAAACATCTTCAATTTGATCCGACCGTATATCATAAGCTAGAAGGTCAGAAGCTAGACTAATGGAAGTTAGAAGCTAGGATGTCTCATATAAAATGGATGTGTAATGGATGTATCATTAATGGGTGTCTCATATAAAATGACTATTACCTGTAATGTCATGCTTTGATTCCCAATGAAGAATCTATTACTGTTTTTAAAGCTAAGATTTCTTTCTTCAGACAAAGATGTCCTGATAACCATATTCACTGCAAGCTTCTTCGTACTTTTTGTTGTAATTCTTCTGGTCCCAATATTTTGGAGAAACAGGTAAAAAAAATTTTTTATTAAAAAAAATCACAATTCTAATTCAAATAAGACTCATTCACAAAGTTTATTGAAAGATTGTTCCTAATTAACATTGTTTTTATCTTCTTCAGGATCAAAGCAATTATTTGGCCCACCATCCCTAACCATCAGAAAACTTTGGATAAATTCTGCAACAAACTAAGAAAGGTTAGTACTTTTACTTCAGGAAAAAGTAGCCTTGCAGGCCTTCAACATAAAATGAAATACAGGTAGTCCAGAGGTGGTATTCAGCAGGTTCTGATCAGTTCTGGAGAACCAGTAGCAGAAATTTTGAATAGTTCAGAGAACTGGCAAATACCGATTCTGACTGGCCCCACCCCCATCTATTTTCTGCCTCTCAAGTCCCAGCTGATTGGCTGGGCCTTCTTTTGTTGCCCTGCACAGGAGAACAGAGCTGTAAAGCAGGTCAGTGGGGTGGGGAGGGAATGGGGATTTTACAGTAACCTTCCCCCGCTACACCACCAAGCCACGCCCACCAAGCCACACCACATCCACCAAGCCAAGCCCACAGAACCGGTAGTAAAAAATATTGAATCCCACCACTGAGGTAGTCCTCAACTTACGAACACAACTGAGCCCCTGACTTCTGTTGCTAAGCAAGATATATTTACCACGGTTCATTTAATGGCCATTCAAAGTTACAATATCACTGAAAAAAAGTGATTTATGACCATATTTCACACTTAGGACCGTTGCCGCATTCCACACTGTCACGTGACCAAAATTTGGATGCTTGGCAGCTGGTTCATATTTATGACAATTGCAGTATCCTGGGATCGTGTGATTCCCCCTTTGTGACCTTCTGACAATGCAGATTCACTTAATGGCCACATCACTAACTTAACAACAGCAGCGATTCATTTAACACCTTTGGCAAACAAGGTCATAAAATTGGGACAAAACTCACTTAACCAATGTTTCAACTTAGCAACATAAATTTTGGGCTCAATTGTGGTCGTAAGTGTCAGATGGTGCTCCATTCAAAATCTAAGAAAGATACTCTTAGACTCCATTGTTATAGAGAAAAGGAACTTTTACTGGAAATCAAGTGGTAGCATCAAAGGAATTCTAGATCTGAGGATTTACACGTGAAAAAACACATATACCAAGTGATGGCAACATTCCCACCCACCATAGTTCAAATGGTCCATCCAATCGAAGATGTGTATAATGTCATGTGGAACATCTTCAGGTGGTGATGCAGACATCTGACTGTTGACCTTGACCTGGTTTGATAAAAAGCTGCAGTTGCACAGTAAGCAAGCAAGTAGGCATAAACAATAAAGTTTTCCCCAAGTTATACAGTTCTTTTTCTAAAACTTCCAGCACATTTCCCACCCCCACAAAGCCCAGTTATTTCTCCCTCCCCACCCCTGTTACTATGGCAGCCAAAAAGATACGAGAGAAAGAAAAGGAGCCTTGAAGGATGACAGTAAGTCAAGGACTACCTATACTTTTTTTTAAAAAAAAAAATTAATGTCTTTGCTTTACAACTTTGGGTATGCACTGACCTAATTCCCTGATAAACATCTTCTTATCTGTGCAGAATTCAGACAGCAGTTTCTTTAATCCTGAGAGTTTGGGATATGCTCACATCCACAAGGTGGATAGCGTTCAGGCTAAGTCAGAAGTTGTCCACCTTCAGCCCCCATCATATAACCTGGATGCAGAGGCTGAGGATTTAGTGGAACAAAAAAGCAACTTGAACCATAGTCATCATGGATGGTTGAAGCTCCCTCTGGCTTATGAAGGAATGTTATCGACAGAGGTGATGAACAAGGTCTACGGTGGAAGCGAGGACCCCTCTGCTAATCATTCAGTCCTCAGCATCAATCTATACAATGAGGGCAGAATTGCCGACCAACATGGCTGGAATAGCCATGATCTGTGTAAATATTCCGTTGTCCCAATGAACCACATTTTTGCCCCTGAATTAAAAACAGGCTCTTGTCACCACACTTATTCCAATGGGGAGACCAGGGTGTTAAATAAAGAAGAAACCTATGTCACGATGGCAAGCTTTTTTGAAAATAAGGGGAAATTATGAAATTGATACTTACAGGCATACAATTACCAAGGGGCATTTCTAGATGTCACACAGGGCTATAACTTCTGTTACGTTAGTTTTTCCTCCTTCCAATGCTGATTTTCAGCATCGATTTGCAGAATTATTATTTTTAAATAAAACTGTATAAAGTTTTCCTTTAAAATGAAATTCACTTGCAGTCAAAAAGAAAAAGAGTTTTCTTAATACTTAGCTTTCTACTGCAGCTGTATTTATTCCCTTGCTCAAAATTGCTTCAGAGCATTTTAAAAGCACCCAAAAGTGCTTGGAATTCAACAGTTCCTGCTCTTGTACCTTTAGGAATCTGTTTAGAGAGGCTTCCATGACATTGAGAAAATAAAAAAAACTCTGGCCTAAAGCCAAAATATGTTCATTGAATCATACAGGTGGTTTTTGTTTATCGACTGCCTCATTTAGTGACTATTTGCAGTTATGACAGTGATGAGAATGTAATTTTATTATCAATCCTCACACGTATGACTTTCATGGGTCTGTAAAGGAAGGAAAGCTGAAGTAAGATCATAAGCCCAGTCTTAAATTTACTTAGTGATCACTTTGCCTCACGACTGAATTGCCAGAATTGTCCTTGCTAAACAAGGACTACCTGCATAATATTATGCACATTTTATATAAATTAATCTCTATGACATGAAATCCAGAGAAATGCTAAACTTCATGTATCACAATTTTAGCATTATTTTGTGAACCCTAAGGTGTTTTTTCAGCTGGACATGGACAATATAAACTGTACGTTATGTGAAGTAGTACTTTATTTTTCCTGTAATAATTTCATAAAAAGTTATACCACCAGTATGATTATATTACTAGCTATAGTGATAAGTTCATTAATACAGTGCCCCCCCACCTTTTGGTTACTAAGGTCTGGTTCTGTGGAGAGAGGTTTTCCCACGGACCGGGGGGTGGAGGGGGCACGCGGCCTGGTTTCTGGAAAGCTGCAGGACAGGGCTGGTCCACAGACCGAGGGTTGAGTACCCCTGCATCTATAACTATAATACCAGTTAAAACTTGAATTCCACTATAAATTACTGCTGCTTTTGATTTAGCTTTCTCCAAAGAAATATTCAAGGGATGCTAAAACAATTTAATTTTTTTATTATTACGTGTTCTATATTCTTTCAATAGATGTATAATCTTGCCCTGTACTTATCATGTTGTTCGCTGCTATGTTTCATTTTCATATGATTAATTTTTATTTTGATGGAATAAGAGTTATGATGTTTGTATGAATGTAATAAATGTCTTTGAATTGGATGCTGAAGTGGCATTTAAATAAAGTCATTAAGAAACAGTCAGTTTAAGCCAGCAGATTTAATTTTAATTCATGAGCCATTATTTATGAATAATACCTAAAGCTTTCTTCCATCTGTCTTGCCTAAACAGAAGGCAGTACATCATTGTAGCCAAATATTTATTGCCAATATAATTCTGGACTAGGGTGTAATCAATAATTAAAATCTATTCAGGGGTGGGCGGCTACTGATTCGCACTGGTTTGGGTGAACCGGATGTTAATTTTACATCCAGTTCACTGAACTGGTAGTTGCAATGACTGTCAATGCTCAGCCTGTCCCACCGCTCCCAGGAGTCTCTGTGTGGCCCATTTTGGATCCCAGGTAAGTGCAGGGCCCATGTGGAGGCTCAGGGAGGGCGAAAAATGGGCTTTCTGGGGGCTCTGTTTCTGGGGCGAGGCATGGCTGCCCATGTCCCCTCGCCTTTAGGCATTCTCTTTCGGGCGATGGAAGCTCCCCAAATGCAGTCACCAGCTACTTCAATTGGCCGGTAGAAGCGGCGTCGCAGCGAGCGGAGTGTGTGTGTGCCACACCCCGGCCTTATTTTGTGAGAAACACGGTATTTCCATTGGATTATGTTGTTCACTTACTTAGAATAATTTTCAAACCAATAGTGGATTGTATCCAATGATACATTTGTCTTTGCAAAAGGGGCCAGTGTTTAATTGATTTAATGATTTCCCCTCCGGGCTATGCAGTACACTACGCCACATACATTTTTTGTGAGATTTAAATGGATTTGAAGGACTAGGAAAAATTTGTTAAGCGGTTTTTAAAAATATGGCACAGTAATGAGGCCACTAGATACAATTCACAGTTCCTGATTCTGTGTTTCCTGAACTTCTTTCAATAAATAAACAAATGAATAAATACATTCAGAGGTGGTATT